AACCCTTGACACTTATTCATCTGTTCTCCATCTCTATAGTTTTGCCATTTCAAGAATGTTCTATGAATGTATTCATCCAGAGAGTGAGTTTGGGGACTGACCTTTTTTCGCTCAGCATAATTCTCTAGAAATGCATCCAGGCTATTACATGTATCACAAGTTCAGTCCTTTTTATTACTGAGTAATATTTCATGGTGTGGCCGGTTTGCTTATTCATTCACCTACTGAAGGGCATCTGAGTTGTTTCTGGTTTAGGACAATTAAAAATAAAAGCTGCTCTGAACATTGTGTACCAACTTCTGTGTAAACATAACCTGTCTCTTCTCTATCCCAGAGGGCAAGTGCAGGTCATACAGTAGTTGCATGTTTTGTTAAGAAAATGTCAAACCCTTTTACAGAAGCACTGTTCTGTTTTACATTCCCACCAGCAGTGTGTGAGTAAGCTAGTTTCTCTACATCTTTTCCAGCATTTGGGGTTGTCACTTTTTTTTTTTTTTTTTAGCTTTTTTGATAAGTGTGCAGTGATATTTCAGTGTGGTTTCATTTGCATTTCCCAATGACTCATGTAGCTCAGCATCTTTTCATGTGCTTGTCATCCATCTGTATATTCTCTTCAGTAAAATGTCTGCTCGTGGCAATCTCTGGGGGTCCAGTGGTTAGGACTCAGCGCTTTCACTGCGGGGGCCTGGATTCAGTCCCTGATCAGGAACCAAGATCCCACAAGCCAAAACAACTAGATGAATAAATGTCTGTGCCCTGCCCATTTTCAAATTGAGTTGTTCTGTTTTTTACTGTTGAGTTTTTACTATTCTTTTCATTGTCTCTTTTCAAGTCTTTGTCAGATACGTGATTTGCAAATATTTTTTTCCCCAGGCTATATACCTTTTTATCTCTTAACAGGATTTTTCTTAAAGAAAAAGTTCTACTTTTGATAAAGTGCAGTTTATCAATTTTCCCTTTTATGGATTGTTTTTGTTGTCAAGTCTGAGAACTCTCTGCCTAGCCCAAGAATCTGAAGATTTTCCTCTATTTTTTTCTAAGTTTTATAGTTTCCCATTTTACATCCAGAGTCCACTTTGCATTTGTTGTTGTTATTCAGTCACTAAGTCATGTCGAACTCTGTGACCCCGTGGACTGCAGCATGCCCAGCTTCCCTGTATTTCCTGGAGTTTGCTCAAACTCATGTCCACTGAGTCGGTGAAGCTATCCAACCATCTCATTGTCTGTCACCCCCTTCTCTTCCTGGCCTCAATCTTTCCCAGCATCAGGGTCATTTCCAATGAGTCGACTCTTTGCATCAGGTGGCCGAAGTATTGACACTTCAGCTTCAGCATCAGTCCTTCCAATGAATATTCAGGGTTGATTTCCTTTAGGATTGACTGGTTTAATCTCCTTGCATTCCAAGGGACTCTCAAGAGTCTCCTCCAGGACCACAGTTCAAAAGCATCAATTCTTCAGTGTTCGTGTTCTTTATGGTTCAACTCTCACATCCATACATAATTACTAGACAAATCATAACTTGAACTCTACAGACCTTTGTCAGCAAAATGATATCTCTGTTTTTTAATATGCTGTCTAGGTTTGTCATAGCTTTCCTTCCAAGGAGTAAGTGTCTTTTAACTCCATGAATGTCTGCAGTCACTGTCCACAGTGATTTTGGGGTCCAAGAAAATAAAATCTTTCACTGCTTCCACTTTTTCCCCATCTATTTGCCATGAAGCGATGGGACCAGATGCCATGATCTTAGTCTGAATGTTGAGTTTTAAGCCAATGTTTTCACTCTCCTCTTTCACCCTCATCACAAGACTCTTATGAAAATGGTAGGGCTCACCATTTATATCTTTCTTTCACCAGAGTTTTGTAGTTTTCAACACACAACTTCTCCATATGTTTTATTTACACTTAGGTTATTTGAGTTTTTTTAAGCGTTTGTAAATGGTGCTGTGATTTTAATTTCAGTGTCTACATGGTCATTGCTAGTGTATATAGATACAGTCAATTTATATATTTATCTTGTATACTGTGACCATGTTGAACTCACTTATTAGTTCTATTTTTATATTTTGCTGAATTCTAATTGCTAATAGTTTAAGATTTTTTGCATTCATGTTAATGGCAGATATTGATTTGCAGTTTTCTTTTTTTGTTGTCTTTGTTAGATTTGGTATCAGGTTAATACTAGTGTCACAAAGTGAATCAAAAGTGTACCCTTCTCTTCTATTTTCTAGAAGAAATTGTTTAATTCTTGAAGGACTGATTAATTCTTCTTTAAATGTTTGGTAAAATTCTCCAGTGAAACCATTTGTACCTGGAAATTTCTTTGGAGGGACTTTTTAAATAAGCACAATTTCCTTAATAGTTAACAGACTGTTCAAATTGCGTGTTTCATATTGGATGAGTATGGTAGTTCATACTTTTCTAGGGTCTGGTCCATTTTCGTCTAGGATGTCAAGATTATGTGTTTAGAGTTGGTTTTAGTGTTTCCTTGTTACCCTTTTGATGTCTGCAAGGCCTGTAATGCTGTCTCCCCTTTCATTCCAGGTCCTGGTGATCTGTGTCTTCTCTCTGTGTTTCTTAGTCTTCCAGGGATTTGTCAATTTATTGATATCTTTAAATAACCAGTTCTTTGTTTCATTGATTATCCGTGTTGTTTTTGTTTTTTATTTCATTGATTCTGCTTTTTATTATATCCTTCCTTCTGCTGTTCTTGTGGGTTTATTTTTGCTTTCCTTTTTCTGGGTTCTTAGATTATGGAGTTAAGAGTTTTCCTCTGTGCGAATGCAAGCATACAGTGCTATAGATATTCCTCTCAGCACTGCTTTAGCTGTGTCCCACAGCTAAATTTTCACGTGTTGTATTTTCATTTTCATTCTACTTGGCAGAAAACAGCAAAATTCTGTAAAGCAGTTACCATTCAGTGTCTATTTTTATATCCCTTAAGACTTCCTCTTTGACCCATGTATTCCTTAGAAGTGTGTCGTTTAGCCAAAGTGTTTGAAGATCTTGCTGTTACTGATTTCTGGTTTGATTCTCTTTAAGGTCATAAGCCATACTCTATTTGGTTGTGGTTCTTTTAAATTTGTTGTGGGTTTTGTGTGTGTGTGGACCAACATATGGTCTATTTTGGTATATGCTTCATAGACACAGGGCTTCCCTTGTGGCTCAGCTGGTAAAGAATATGCCTGCAATGTGGGAGACCTGGGTTTGATCCCTGGCTTGGGAAGATCCCCTGGAGAAGGGAAAGGCTACCCACTCCAGTATTCTGGCCTGGAGAACTTCATGGACTATATAGTCCATGGGTTCGCAAAGAGTCGGACACACCTGAGCGGCTTTCATTTCACTTCATAGTCACCTGAAAAGAATGTGCATTCTACAATTGTTGATGGACTTTTAAATATATGTCAAGACTGAGACAGACCACTAACTCTTGAAGGTTATATGATACACCTTTGCCCAAGATCTCAGAGTATGTGATCTAAAATACTGCTGAGTTCACCAAGGAGGCCTGTGAAGCCTTCTCACTGGTGGTTCTTGTCAGTGGAGCCACCATTTTTCTTCCCTGGGGGGTCTGGTCCTCTCTGAAGGATAGGACTTTGATCAGCTCAACACATGGCTCAATAAGTTTCCTAGCTGACATTTTTACCCTTGTATTTCCAAGAGATATAACAGGACATCATTTTCCTTCTCATCAAATCATAGGATGCTAAAGCCAGAGGAAACCTTGGATCATCTGGTCTACCCTTTCATTTGGCAGGTGAAGGAATGAGGTCCTAGAGGTTATTTTAGATTATTTTTTAAAATGCTTTTGTGAAATTAACATAAGTTGTTATAGAAGTATATTAGATATACAGAAACAAAAATAAGGAAAAAAGCTTATATATAATCTTACAACCAAAAAGTAACTACTATTATTATTTTGGAGTATACTCTCCCAAGTTTTAAGAAATGGAATCACACTGTCTTATGACTTTCTTAGTTTAATAATAGACATGAGCATTTTTCTAAGATATTATTCCTAGTAGCAGAATATATTTCCACAGTACAGATACACCATCATTTATATGGTATAAGTGATGTCCATTTGATGGACATATAGGCGATTACAGTTTTCACTGTGTTAAATAACGTTGTGATGAACATCTTTTGTGTCCATATGTATGGTTTTTCCTAGAATTAGAGACACTAAATCAGAGCACGTGAACATTTTTAGCTTTTGAGCCCTGTTGCCAAATTGGATTATTGGGGGTTTTGTTTGTCTGGACAGGCTTTGCTTGGTTTTGATTTGTGTTGGTTTTAGAGTCTATATGGAAGCTTACAAGTTCAGGAGGAGGCCTTGTTTAGGTCCCCAGAGTTTTAGGGTGTGGACTAAACAGCCACCTGGAACCAAGCGGAGAGCCCGCCCTTCCCAAGAGCATAGAGTGGCTGGATTGGTGCCATGCATTCCACACCTTTCTATGAGGCATCCTGCACTGGGCCCGGTCAGGAAACAGGAAAATGGGCAGGTACATACAGCCTGGGGTCTGAACCTTGTAAACCCAGCCGCCCAGCCCAGTTTTATATGTGCCAGGCTACAGAGGGACAAACTCGCTCACCCCAGCCGCTTCCTGTCTCTGGGACCTATCGTGAGAACGGTGTGTGTTGCACTAAAAATATGCTTTGAACTTTCTGTCATAGTAATTGCCCCCATAAAATGGACCAGTGCACTGCATGAAAGTGTCCCATATTTAAAGACCAGTCCTGCCTGCTTTTATGACTGGTGCTGACTACAGGAGGATCACAGCCCCAGCCACTCTGCCTAGGCACCGCTGAGAGCTGTCCCGGGGGACAGGGCATCTGAAGCTGGACGAGAAACCCGGGGCCCAGGAGAGGCCCTGCTGCTGACGAGTGGCCAGAGCACCCCCCGTCAGGTACCCAGGCAGCTCCTGGATGCAGTGTTGGGGTTCAGCCTGCGGTCCACAGAGCACACCCTTTTCCATCAGTCTTTCTTTTCTCATCTGCAGAGAAAGAAGAACTGATCCAGAACGTGCTGACCCAGGTGGCGGAGCAGTTCTCAAGGTACAGAATCTTCTGGATACATCCTTTCCAGGGCTGGGTACTCTTTCTCCTCATGGCGAGTGGGCCCCTTGCCGTGAGGCTATCTCAGCTGATGGGCTGTCATCCATCACTTCCCCAGAGAAGCTACCTGCCTGGTGGGGTCCTTTGGGGAATTCTGTAACTAAGCCAGCATGCATTGGGTCCAGGAGATGCTCGCCTGCTGGTGCTTTCAGAGTAAGGACCCGCGTTGCTGAGAATGTCCTCAGCTGGCTCTTTGGGGCGAGGACTTCAGCCTATGGGAGTTGACAGCACAGAGATCCTGTGTGGATGTCTGACTCACTCTTCATTCTGAGTTATACTGCCGGTTCTGGAGTCAGTGCTTTGCATTTTCTCAGTTACCTCCTATGGCATCTTACTGCCCCCCAGGTATTTGAAATGGGGAGAAGCCATAGGGTATTTTCTTAAAGCCCAGGAGTTGTTGAACTGATTGGGTTGGAGCCCAGAGAAGGGCACACCAGCTGCCTGAGGTGGTCTGTGCCCAGAAGGACATGGTATGTGTGGTGGGGGGGGAGGGTGCTGGTCCATGCCAGGGGTTAGCAGAGAACCCAGGTCCTCCCCAAAGAGCATCTGCTCACTGGCCAGGTATGGGGAGTAATTGTGCCCGCTCTGTGTTCCGGACTTGGAAAATACACCTTCGAGATAATTCCAGAGTGTGTCCTTTTCCTTCTCCCCGCCCGCCTCCAACTCCCATGAGTTCCTTAAAAGCAACTCCTCTGTTTGGGCCCCTCACCAGCCCACCTGTGAGCCTCACCATGGCAAGGAGCCAGTCAGCAGATGTTGACTGAACCCACTTCAACTTGGAGAATTTGAGGAGTTATGTTGTTTTGTTTTTTTCCTTCCCAGAGCTTTTAAAATCAACGAGCTGAAAGCTGAAGTTGCAAACCACTTGGCAGTGCTGGAGAAGCGCGTCGAATGTGAGTGGCATGTCGATGCCTTTTCACTGCTGTGTCTTTTAACCTCAGTGCAAATTAAACCACTTAGGCTGTGGTGTGTGATGATGGCAGGGGAGGTGAGGCTCAGAGCGAATGTCTTGTCTTTGTCAAGTACTCAGTACTTACCTTTGAAGTTAACAAAGGCTAGAAGAGTGATGAATCTTAAGCGTTTTATTCTGTTTGAGAAGTAACCCAGTAACTCGCAGCATGTTAGAAGTACACAGTAATTTGCAATCCGGTACGTGTCATCACATGGTATGTGTCATGGTAGCACAGAAGAGCACAGAGGAAACTATGGGGCTTCCTAGACCGAGCCCCCCCAGAGACAAACCTCTGCAGAATAGCTTGTGTGTGTGTCTTTTTACTTAAATGAGAACACACCAACCCATACTCTCTGGTTTCACAATTTTAGGGGAAGGTGTCTACTGAATGACCACCAATGACTGATTCTTGACTCAGTGACCAAGGAGCTAAAACTCTGGAAGATAACAGCTTCCAGTCAGTCACCCTTTGTGTCCCATCCATAAAATAAGGGGCAGTGCGTGAATTCCTTGTGGTCCACAATTCCCCACCCAGGGCCCAAAGAGATGGCTCTTTGTCAGTGTCAAGGCTAATATCAAGGCTAATGGCTCCTCGGCACTGCATCTACTGACTTGTGGAGTGAGTAAACAGACTCCAGACTTGAGGCTGTCAGGATGGCATCACAGCCTCTATCTGACTAACTCATTGAAGGTCACTTTTCATACCTTGTATGAACTGCTTGATTTTTTCCAAGAAGAAAAAAAATCACGATTGTGTCCAAAACCAATTCGCCTAAAGAACTTGAATCATGATTTACAGTCACCCTTTTCAAAGTGCGGCTGCTGCTGCTGCTAAGTCACTTCAGTCGTGTCTGACTCTGTGCAACCCCATAGACAGCAGCCCACCAGGCTCCCCCGTCCCTGGGATTCTCCAGGCAAGAACACTGGAGTGGGTTGCCATTTCCTTCTCCAATGTGTGAAAGTGAAGTTGCTCAGTCGTGTCTGACTCTTAGGACCCCATGGTCCGCAGCCTACCAGGCTCCTCCATCCATGGGATTCTCCAGGCAAGAGTACTGGAGTGGGGTGCCATTGCCTTCTCCGTCAAAGTGCGGCAGCGTTTTTTAAATCCGTTTGGTCATTAGAGCTGCAAAACAGTTATGTTTTCCCCATTGACAGTGAAGGAGCCAAAGAGATTAGGTGACCTGCTTGAGTTCATTCAGCAAATTGGAAAAGTAAATACCATAAAGAAAGCTGAGCTTCGAAGAATGGATGCTTTTGAACTGTGGTGTTGGAGAAGACTCTTGAGAGTCCCTTGGACTGCAAGGAGATCCAACCAGTCAGTCCTAAAGGAAATCAGTCCTGAATATTCATTGGAAGGACTGATGTTGAAGCTGAAGCTCCAATACCTTGGTCACCTGATAGGAAGAAATGACTCACTGGAAAAGACTCTAATGCTGAGAAAGATTGAGGGAAAGAGGAGAAGGGGTCAACAGAGGACCAGATGGCTGGATGGCACCATCAATTCAATGGACGTGAGTTTGAGCAAACTCCGGGAGGTAGTGAAGGACAGGGTAGCCTGGCATTGTGCAGTCCATGGGGTTGCAAAGAGTTGGATAAGACTTAGAGACCGAACAACAAGCCCTGGGGCCCTAGGAGGCAGCTCTCACCAGCACCTTTCACCATGAGGAGCTGGGGATTTGAGGGGAGGCTCCAGGAAGAGCAAGTTAGAAAGTGCTGTGGCAGCTGGCCTTATAGCCACTGCCACAGACACTGGTCGTGGCTGCATTGAGCAGAAAAGAGGCTTTGCCTCCAGGGGATTTTGGTGGGGGGGGTCCCTGGGTGCTGAGAGTGTCAGGACAAGGCTCCTCAGTAGCCGTGCAGCAGGAGCAATACCCCATACTCCACGTAGAGCTGATGCAGTGAGGACTCGGATCTGGCAGATCTGAGCCCCAGATGTACAGTATCCGCAGCACCCCAAGATCAGTGCCAGGACCCCCACAGCTCGTGGCCACTGCAGCAAACATCAAGCTTCTTCTCTGTTCACCAGCTGCGGGTCCAGAGTCTGGACAGAGTGGACCCCGTGTCCACACACACACCCTGCCCCCTACCCCTGCCCACTGCAGGGAAGGCCAGAGAAACTGAGTATGTTGGTTTCCTGGGGTTGTCATGTCAAAGCACCCAAACGAGGGGGCTTGGAACAACAGCAATGAATTCTCCCACAGTCTGGAGGCCAGATGCCTGAGGTCAAGGTGCAGCAGGGCCAGTTCCTTCTGGAGGGATCCTGTCCCAAGCCTGCTGCACCTTCCAGGCTGCCCTTGGGCTTGGCATGTGGCCGTCACTGCAGGCTGCTGCTGCCTGCACTCAGCCTCTCCCTGCGCACCTTTGTACTCAGGTCTCCCTCTGCCTTCCTGCATCAGGCACCTCTCTGTGGATTTTGAGCCCACCCTCACCCAGGACGATCTTATCTCAGGATCCACACTTGTGTTCTGGGGATCAGGATGTGAGCCTGTTCCTTTGTCATTGTTCAGCTGTCAGTCATGTCTGACTCTTTGCAGCCCATGGTCTGCTGAATGCCAGGTTCCTCTGCCCTTCACTATCTCCTGGAGTTTGTTCAAACTCATGTCCATTGAGTCAGTGATGCCATCCAACCATCGCGTCCTCTGTCATCCCCTTCTCCTCCTGCCTTCAATCTTACCCAGCATCAGGATCTTTTCCAATGAGTCGGCTCGTCACATCAGGTGGCCAAAGGATTAGAGCTTCAGCTTCAGCATCAGTCTTTCCAATGAATATTCAGAGTTGATTTCCTTTAAGATTGACTGGTTTGATCTCCTTGCTGTTCAAGGGACCTTCAAGAGTCTCCTCCAGCACCACAGTTCAAAAGCATCCGTTCTTCAGCACTCAGCCTTCTTTATGGTCCAGCTCTCACATCTGTACATGACTACTGGAAAAACCATAGCTTTGACTCTACAGACCTTTGTCGGCAAAGTGATGTCTCTGCTTTTTATTACGCTCTCTAGATTCATCATAGCTTTTCCCTATGTCATTGCCTGTCTCTTACGGGGGCACAATTCAACCACTGCTGTGAGCGTTTGCTGTTTCATCTTCTGCAGTGGGAGGCAAGCCCCACTTCCCACCAAGCCCCATGGGGTAGAACTGTCCACACGTGGGAAGTGGTTCAGCCAGAGATCACAAAAACCGTTCACTGCTGAGTCACTGCCTACACTTACACAGAAGAACCGTCTTTCCAGTCACCACCTGGAGAGCAGATGCCTGGCGGGTGGAGGGGGGCGGCAGGTACCTCCTGCTTCATCCTCCTCTCCTCCAGCTCCACTGGCCCCTCCCTGCACAGAAGCCAGCTCCAGGCCTTTCATTCTTTGTACACAGGCGTGTTAAAGAGGCCATTAATTAATTTCCAGAACTCCTGCCGAGAGCTGTGAGACTTCCCGTCTCTGGCCGTGAGAGCAGCAATCAGGCAGAGAAGTGTCTAAGTGGCTCGTGGATTGAGGACCGTTAAAGGACAGAGCCTTGGTAACCATCTCCCCTGGCCTGTCCTTGCCCCAAATCCTCCAGAACTAACTCGAGTCTCCTCCTAGGGCTCTTGTGTGAATCACAGAAGTCACACACATGCGCATAGGTTACCTGGAAGACACGGTCCAGGCTCACGAGATCACAGTTACTCGTGTTTTTACTAGTTGTGTTCATTCTAGCCCCGGAGTCCCGGGCCCTGAGCGGGAGGGGCGGAGGGGGCTTGCATTTCTCAGGGGGACGAGAGGGTCAGGGTTGTTTTGGTACCTCTCCCCATGTCGGCCCCCAGCACCCCCATCTCCTCCTGGCTGCCCGCTGTGCAGAGGAATGTGGGGGTCCACACACCGCAGGAGGCAGCTCTTGAGCCCCTTGAACTCCACTTGGCTTTAGGCCTGTCCTCTCCTGGCCCTTGTGGCTGACTGCGCCTCAGCTCCCCAGGCTCCACTGCTAACCTGGAAATGACCACTGTTGCCTCACCTGAGCTGAGCCCCCGGGACGGGGGTATGCGTTCCAAAGAGCCGCCCAGACGTAGCATCTGTGCCTCCCCCAGAGACATCACAGGGACCCTAGGAGTGGACAGGGGAGGCCCTCTGAACAGGGGTCCGGCAGTCAGGCCTCTGTCATCAGTCACTTGGGGGACTGGTCACCCCAGCCTCTCAGAGGTCAGGGGAGGCCCTCTGAACAGGGGTCCGGCAGTCAGGCCTCTGTCATCAGTCACTTGGGGAACTGTCACCCCAGCCTCTCAGAGGTCAGGGGAGGCCCTCTGAACAGGGGTCCGGCATTCAGGCCTCTGTCATCAGTCACTTGGGGGACTGGTCACCCCAGCCTCAGAGGTCAGGGGAGGCCCTCTGAACAGGGGTCCGGCAGTCAGGCCTCTGTCATCAGTCACCTGGGGAACTGTCACCCCAGCCTGTCAGAGGACAGGGGAGGCCCTCTGAACAGGGGTCCGGCAGTCAGACCTCTGTCATCAGTCACTTGGGGGACTGGTCACCCCAGCCTCTTAGGAGGTCAGGAGAGGCCCTCTGAACAGGGGTCCGGCAGTCAGGTCTCTGTCATCAGTCACTTGGGGAACTGGTCACCCCAGCCTCTCAGGAGGTCAGTCCTGACCCTCCACTGCTGCCAGAACCAAGCCAGCCTGTGAGGGCTGCCAGGCTGCTCCACTAGGCCCGGCCGGATGTGGACACACACACACACACACAGAGCTACAGAGGCACGCACACAGGCACACACACACAGAGGCACACACACACCCATACATGTAGACACACACAGAAACATAGGCACATATACTCAATAGTACACAAGCCCTTACACACATACACATATGAACAGGCAAGCGCACCATGCTCACGCATATATGTGCTGGGTCTGGTGTGTCTGAGCTGCTACTGACTGTTCTCTGCTTCTGAGGTCCAGAGGGGCACCCGCTAGAACTGCCCATCTGTAAACCACGTTACATTGGTCTGACTTGTGTTTGAATGGAATTTCCTGTTTTTTTTTAACTTTCTCAAGCGTTTAATTTTTTGGAGTCAGATGTAAATTTTGCCGCATCTCTTAATTCACCTTAAAGGCTTTCCTTCCTTTTCTACAGAATGTTTTCCTTCTTCGGGAGGCTGGGGTCTCACTTAGGTGGAAGGCTGTTTTAAACACAGGACACCCAGGGCCTCCTCTTGCTTCCCGGCTGGAGGTGAACTGTCCAGGGCACCCCTCTCCCTCTCTCCCTTTCTTCTTGTTTGCAGGACGGGCCCGGGCACCCTGCAGGCACAGGGCAGCCCTGCTCCCATCCAGACTTTGTCCTTGCCCGTGCGTACTATGTGCTTAGTCTCTCAGTCATGTCTGACTCTTTGCGACCTCATGGGCTGTAGCCCACCAGGCTCCTCTGTCCATGGGATTCTCCGAGCAAGAATACTGGTGTGGATAACCATTACCTTCTCCAGGGGATCTTCCTGACCCAGGGATCAAACCTGTGTCTCTTACATCTCCTGCATCAGCAGGTGAGTTCTTTACCACTAGCGCCACCTGGACGCGAGTTCCATCCCTGGATCAGGAAAATCCCCTGGAAAAAGGCATGGCAACCCACTCCAGTATTCTTGCCCAGAGAACCCCATGGACAGAGGAGCCTGGCAAGTCTACAGTCCCTGCCCAGGCCTGGCCCAAAACCTAAAGACCGGAGAGCTGGCCCCAGGGGCCTGAATTTACAGCCAGGTCAAGCAAACAACCCAGAGGACTGAAACCAAGCCTTGCTTTTCTTTTTGTCACTCGGGAAATGTGCCTTATGCAAATTCCTTAGCGGAGTTCTTGGCAGAAATGCTGAAACACAGCTCTATTCCTACGTGTCTGTAAACAATTTTCAAAGCTCTGCAGGCCCACTAGGGCCCGGCCTGCCCACAGTATCCTCTCAGGAGAGCCCGACGGGACTGGGGGAGGAGAGAACAGGACAGAGCTGCCTCCATGACCACCCTCTTGCTCCTGCTCACTGAGGTCCCATTCCTGAAGCCAGCATCCCTCTTAGTGAATCATTCCTAAACATTCTCCTCCAGGGCAGCTGTGACCTGCAAAGGCCCACAGAGTCACTTCTAAAGTCCGAGAGAGGCCAGCAGAGTCCATGTGATGCTCAGGCTGCTAGTCTGGGGCTCTGGTCTGTGTCACCTGTGTTTAAAGCTTGGAACTGATGAGTGGGCCGAGATGTGGGCAACTGACATCCATCCCCACCATGGGGCCTCACTGGGTCGCCACAGGACCTGGGGGAGGCCCAGCACAGTCGGCCTTCTCCCTCCCCAGGATCTTCCAAAAGGGAGCCTGGTGTCCAGCAAGGCCTGGGAGGGGCTGCCCCAGGTCCATGCGTGCCTGCATCTGCCCAGCACCTCCCAGCTTCCTCCCTGTGCTCTGGCACTTTAATCCCATGACATGTTGTTTCCTCATCCATTGATGAATGCACTTTTTGCCATCTCATTGCTCACCGTCAATTTCCTTGGCAACCAGGGTCCATTTCATAAACACCTTTGCTGTAAATTCTGGATCTCTGAGATTCAGATAAGTGATATCATACCGTGTAGCCCAAAAGACTGAATCTTAACATCACCCCCAATAAATGGCCAAGGACTCTGATCTACATCAATTCCAGTATCCATTCGGTCAAACATCAGGCAGCCACCAAGAGCCGTGAGCTAGTGGGCAGCTGCTAACAGTAGCATCCTTAACCTTGATGATGGAAAAAAGCAAATGAGAAAACAGAGTGGCATAATCCCCAAATTTGTCTTTTTTTTTTTTAATTTTTTTTTGATGTGGATCATTTTTAAATTCTTTATCTGATTTGTTACAGTATTGTTTCTATCTTATGTTTTGGTCTTTTGGCTTCCAGGCATATTGGCTCTTAGCTCCCCAACCAGGTATTGAACCCCGGGCCCCCTGCATTGAAAGATGAAGCCTTAACCACTGGATTGGCAAGAAAATCTCCTGTCTCTTTAAAAATAAGAGTAAATAGATAGATATTAAGAATGCATGGGGGTGGGAGAGAAATGCCTGGAAGGATACATACACACACACACACATATATATAACATTGTTGTTGTGGTTCAGTCGTTCAGTCACATCTGACTCTTTGTGACCCCATGGACTGTAGCATGACAGGCTTCCCTGTCCTTCACTATCTCCCGGAGCTTGCTCAAACTCATCCCCATCGAGTCGGTGATACCTTCCAACCATCTTATCCTCTGTCATCCCCTTCTCCTCCTGCCTTCCATCTTTCCTAGCATCAGGGTCTTTTCCAATGAGTTGGCTCTTGGCATCAGGTGGCCACAGTATTGGACATTCAGCCTCAGCATCAGTTCCTTCAATGAATATTCAGGATTAATTTCCTTTAAGATTGACTGGTTTGATCTCCTTGCAGTCCAAGGAACTCTCAAGAGTCTTCTCCAACACCATACAATAGTAAATGAATTCTCTTCTGGCCCAATGGGCTCACAGATACATTTTTAAATACTCTTCTTTGATAGGCCCTGTATTTGCTCCATTTTCTGTAGTAGTCACAGGTTATTTTGCATTCAGAAAAGTGATGCTGGAAACGTAATGAGTGTAACTGTGGACCCTGACTGGCAGGGCACCGCCGCCCTGTTTGGACTATCCAGCGTGGTCTGTCTCTTCCCCACATGGATTCCCTTTTTGGATCCAAGTCTATGCCACATGCCAGGTCCCTTCTCCAGCTGTATTCCCCTTTCTGAAATTTTCTGCCTGTCACGTGTTAGCAACCCTTTCCTGGGCCCCTTCCTGCCACATGTTGACTCCACTGTATGACCCAGTGACAGACGCGGCTGCGATGTCATCCCCTCCTCCGAGGGGTGAGCGTCTTGCAGTGAGACCGAGGCTGAAGAGTGCCTGGGCGGGTGCACACTCCTGGTCCCAATGCAAACCTTTACGGTGTGTGTTGCTGCACTTCTTCTTGGAAGTGGACCCAAGCTTCCATCCACCTCCTAACAGGGTCCGTGATGCAAGAAAAGACTGAGAGCATCCGACCCCAAAGGAAGATGTGGGGTCCCGATGGGAGCTCAAAGTACCGATATCATTTCCTCCACCCCCTCCACCTCACTGCCCCGCTTCCTGGTACAGATTGGCATCCCACATGGCACAGAAGCAGGTCACCAGGACCAGATTCAAAGATCAAATCCTCCAGATTCCTGCCGCACAGACGGAAAGAGGCCATGGTTTCACAAAGCCTAGCCCCCGCTTGGCCCCTGACCCTGAAATGTTTAGAAAATCTGCCCAGGGAGGTTCTAGTTCCTGCCTGTCTGCCCAGGGTGGTGCTGGGAAAATTTCCACCGCTGTGAGCTCCAGAGCTGCTGACAGCTCCTCCCGGCAAGGAGGGGATTAATGGAAATGAGCGGAAGTCACCGAGCTGCTTTGTTTTTCTTTTAGAAATCATCTGCATTTTATTTTTAGCCATATTCAGAGCCACGCTCGATGAAAAGGGGGATGAGTGGCATCGTGGGTAGTATCTTTTTACATAAAAATCGAGGTGTGATTACAAAGTAACAAAGCTCATCTTTTTTATTGCTTATGAACTGACTCTAGTCTGAAAGCCTTTCCAAAGCTGGCAGCATTTCTGGGCTAAATACGCACCTGCCAAGTGTGTATGTCTTGAAGTTGAATACTCGATTGTGGGTGTAAGCGCCAGTTCATCCTTTGATGAAAAACAAAATAGTAGTGTTCCGACTTAAGGGACCCCCCCCCCTCGCCACAGCACCCCGGAAGTATGACCAAGCCTGGGGTCCTTCTCCTGGCCTGTTCATTTCTCACCATTTCAAGTCTGGACTTCTGGTTTACTGCTCTACAGGACCTTAAAGTGCAAAGCTCCTTATCTTAATGAAATTTCCATTCTTGCTGGGAAGCTGTGATTTTGCCCCCTGAAACTTCTGCTGCATTTTAATACCCTGGGAACACATAACCCCCTTTTTCTTTGAGGGATAAAAGACACTCTGGCCCGGATCCTCAGCTGGTACTTAGGGGTATGGAGAGAAAGCAAGAAGTGGGTGAGCACAGAGTGGAGATTCACGGAGTGGGGAGGGGGAGGAGCTTCCATCCTAGAGAGATCACGGGTCTGAATGCAATGAATAGGCGTGTGTCGGGGGGCAGCTGTGTTTCAGCTGAGTGAGGGGGAGGCCAGAGAATCAGCAGGGTGGGCGGGAGTGGGAACCAGTGTCTGAGCCAGGCTCCCCTCCTTCCCACTCGCCAGTGGACATGGGAGCCGTGGGCTAACCCCCAGTTACCAGCCTTCCCATCCTCCGCCGTGTATCCATGGTAACCCCCTTGTTTCTCTTGGTCCCCAGTGGAAGGACTAAAAGTGGTGGAGATTGAGAAATGCAAGAGTGACATTAAAAAGATGAGGGAGGAGCTGGCAGCCAGAAGCAACAGGTAAGGTCTGCGCTGGGGGAGGCGCGGGCAGACGGCTGGGGGAGAGCACTGCATAGCCATATGGGCCGGAGGGGGCCCTGGGCTTTTTTTTCCCCAGAAGCGAGGCTGGAGAATCTGGTTCAGCTGGGCTTGGGTGGGCACCGTCTGGGATCTGCTTTTCAGTTATACAGCTTTCTTCTCATAAAAGAGAGTTTATGGCCATGGGAGGCGGGGAGGATGACATCACAGAAGAAGAGAGGAAGCGTCCTACAGAAAATGGTTAAGATTCACACCCTCAGCTTGAACAAAGTCAACATTGATTATTTTGAAAAAGGGACCGATTAAAGGAGAAGGGCCTTTGGCTTCCAGAGGACACATGTCCTGGAGCCTCAGAGGCCCCGCTTTCAAATGGACGTCCCCACAGCGCAGAGTCGGAGAAGGCAATGGCACTCCACTCCAGTAGTCTTGCCTGGAAAATACCATGGACGGAGGAGCCTGGTAGGCTGCAGTCCATGGGGTCCCTAAGAGTCAGACACGGCTGAGCGACTTCACTTTCACTTTTCACTTTCATGCATTGGAGAAGGAAATGGCAGCCCACTCCAGTGTTCTTGCCTGGAGAATCCCAGGGACGGGGGAGCCTGGTGGGCTGCCGTCCATGGGGTCGCACAGAGTCGGACACGACTGAAGCGACTTAGCAGCAGCAGCAGCAGAAGCAACAGCGCAGAGTGGCCAGTCAGGGGAGCAGTACCACAGTCTGGACACAGAAGTCACTTGTCCCTCGGAACAAGGGTCCCTCCATGTGTGCCCCTGGGGAGCCAGGGTGAGATGCCCAGGCTGCCAAAATCCATGAAAAAACACCCCAAGCACTTCTTGGAGAGTGGGGTTTCGGGTGCAGCTGGACCCCTGGCCGAAACTGGGGTCAAAGCAGATGTTCAGGTTAGGGGTGGAGACGTCCCTGTCAGCCGAGATGATTCGGGACGTGATGCCTGCCTGGAGCACTTACTGTGTGCAGGGCTGTGCCGGGCGCTCTCTGACGCGAGCAGCTCTACCTGTCTGCCCTCCGGGGTTGCTTCATGCCCACGGTCACCCGTCCAGAGCCCGCATGATGATGATGTGGCCTGTCACCCCCAGAACCCCTTGCCACTAAGGTGGCTGAGGTTACGCTGGGCCTAATGGGACTTAACAGGACTCTTGGGTCCACTCACAAACCTGTGCAGACGCACCGGATCGTCTTACAAGGCCGCCTGACACCCTGAAGGTCATTCCCAGAATTTTCAAAATTGAGGGCAACCTGCTTAGTGGGGAGGGTGGCTGAGTATGGGGCCTTTGGGCCAGGAGGGGACAGGGAAGCTGGTGGTCCTGTCAGAGAGTGGTGAGGCTGGCAGCCTTGGAGTGAGCTCGGGACTAGCCCAATGAGCGCAGAGCCACGTTGGCATGTCTTCCCAGGACCACGCCATGTTCATGTCATACTTGTCATCTAGTTTGGATTCTCTGAGACCAGCCTGGGACTGGCTGCCTGTGGCCCAGTGCCATGTCTGCTGCAGCGAGAGGGGGCAGGGGTGCGCTCTGGGCCCTGTCGCCCACCTTCCCTCTGTGGAATCGCCTCACCCACAAACATGTTGCATCCGTGGAGCCCACAGAGCCCTTTTGGGAGACAGGTTGGTTTTTTTGAGGTATGATTGGTTCCCAGGTGGCGCAGGGGTAAAGAGTCTGCCTGCACCACAGGAGATGCAGGTTTGATCCCTGGGTCGGGAAGATCCAAACTAGATTCCCTGGAAAAGGAAATGACAGCCGGCTCCAGGATCCTTGCCTGGGAAATCCCCTCGACAGAGGAGCCTGGTGGGCTGCAGTCCATGAGGTTGCAAAGAGTCAGACATGATGTGTCAACTCAGCACACACGTTAGTTGAAGGTGTGCATAGTAGGAGGGGTTTTATAATGCAGCCTGTCATCCCTTCTCAAATGACTGACTCCTGCCACTTCCTGGAACAGCCTGGGTGAGTCAGGAGCCCCACCAGCCAGTCCTGCCCCCGCCAGATTGCAGGCGCCCTCGTCTGTACAGAGCCTGGTGGGGGCAGGGGTGAGGCAGCACTTCCGGTATGCTCTCTGACATGCACTGGCCATTCAGTTCGGGTCGCAAGAGAAAAATCAGAACTTCATCCAGGTTGTGTTAGTTTCTTGTGGCTGCTATAACAAAGTACCACTAACTGAGGGCTGAAAACAGTTTATTTTCCCACAGTTCTGAGGGTTAGAAGTCTGAAACAAAGGTGTCAGGAAGGCCAGACTCGCCAGGAATGCTCTCGGGGGACCTGTTCCGGGCCTCTCTTCCAGCTTCTGGGGGTGTCAGTGATTCTTGGGGCTCCTTGGCTTGCAGGGCATCACTCCAGGGTCTGCCTCTGTCTCCGCATGGCCTTTCTCTGTGTGTCTATCTCTGTGTCCAAGTGTCCCCCTGTGACCAGTCAACTCACATGGATGTGAGAGCTGGACAGTAAAGAAGGCTGAGTCCCAAAGAATGGATGCTTTTGAACTGTGGTGCTGGAGAAGACTCTTGAGTGTCCCTTGGACAGCAAGATCAAACCAGTAAATCCTAAAGGAAATCAACCCTGAATTTTCACTGGAAGGAAGGACTGATGCTGAAGCTGAAGTTCCAATACTTTGGCCACCTGATGTGAAGAGCTGACTAATTGGAAAGAACCCTGATGCTGGGAAAGATTGAGGGCAAAAGGAGAAGGGGGCGACAGAGGATGAGTTGGTTGGATGGCATCACCAATTCAGTGGACATGAACTTGGGCAAACTCTGGAAGATGGTGAAGGACAGGGAACCCTAATGTGCCTCAGTCCATGGGGAGGTTGGGGCTGAGGGTGGGGGCAAAGAATCAGATATGACTTGGCGACTGAACAACAATAGTCACACTGGGTGAGGGGTCACCTTCCTCCAACATGGCAGATCTGAACTCATTACATGTGACAGCCCTGTTCCAAATGAGGTCACAGTCAGAGGTGCTGTTAGGACCTCAGGGTATGAGGACACATAAGGGACATAACATACCACATGGAGAAGACCCGCCTGATCTCAGAGCACAGGGTAGACGAGATGTCCCCTGCAGGTGCCTCTCTGGGGCAGAGAGAGCTGAGCTGGGCTCATCCAAGTGTTGAAGCCCCTTCCATATGCCGCCCCCCGCCAGAAGTGCATTCTTGGAGTTCACAGTGCCGCGGTAATCTGAAGAGGTGTTCTCCCTATATCGTAACCAAGTCTAGAGCGATGTCATCTCAGTCAGCAGTTTTCACAGCCACCTTGTAGGTAAGAGAGGAGTAATTGTAACTCTTCAATCAAAAATAGAGTAGCGTAAAGTCTCAAACATTCCCGACACAATCGGGAAAAGGAAATCTAGCCTCCTGGGCTTAGGTCTGATCCACAGCAGCTTCACCCACCTAAGACCCTGGCCCAGGAATCCGGCGGCACCCTGTGCCCCATACAAACAGCCCTGCCCTTTTCTATATGGAGAAATTGACTCAGATGGAGGGTAAGTCGTTTGCACTGCCCCCCACAGTCTCTGTTGATGCCAGGGTTCCATCCTAACTAATCACACAGAGGGTCAGGCCATTCAGCGTCCTGGGAGCTGGCTTGTTACCTGGGACCAGCTTTGTTACCTGGGATCACACAACTGAGCAGCTCTTTCTGACGATGTCAGCCCAGCTGGGCAGTGGTCCTGCCTATGGCGGGGCTGAGGGAGGAACAAAGGTCCCAGCCCGGGCAAGCCCAGCTCTGTACCCACTCGGGTGGTCAGTGAGTCTGAAGTGATGACCACCATCAGCCACCCATGAGCACACCCCAGTGTGGCCTTGGAGCCAGGGCTCTGCATGGACCAAAACCATCTTCCCCCAGGGAACAACAGGATAGTGGTTGGGTTGGATCAGACTCAGACCCACAGACACCCTCGAAGCAGGCAAGAGTACCCTGAGACCCAGGCCTTGGGTTTCTCTTGGCTTTTCCCCAAGAGGAAAGAAGGCAAATCGCCTGCCCAGCTGTAGGGCAAGGTCCGACTCCACTGAGCATGTGTCCACAGAGTGGAGCTGGCAGGTTCATCCCAATGGGGCTCTGCAGGAACACTCGCAGCAGCATCCAAGGGCCCTGGAGCCCACCATCTCTGCTTCTGTCCCAAACACGTGGCCTCAACCACTGCACTGAGCCCCAGGAGAGGGAGGGCTGGGAGTGCAGAACACAAAAGCAAAAACCAGCCCCAAATAGAAAAGGAGAGACACCATGCCAGAGGCTCTGTCAGCTGGAGGATGCTGGTTCCCATGGCAACAGACACAGAGGGAGCCGGCAGGGGCACCTGGCCGACGTGGGCAGGCCCTGGCAGGACCTCCCAACACTGGGGTTTTTGTGCAAGCAGAGAGATCCCAGCAGTCAAACCATCCTGGATGGCAGAAGCTCACACAGTCCTCCTGGGAAAGGTTCACAACCAGCCTGCACAGCACGCGTGCGGATGACGGTTCAGAAGAGGTTAAAAGCACGAGAAGAATAATGACAATGCTGCGTGTGGTCTTCAGAGCGTAGACAAGTTCTCACTGCTCAGACATGTGTAAATGGAAGTTCTCCTGTACAAGGGGGACCGCGGACATAATCTAGTTGGTGCGTTTTCCTGGTTCACTTTGCTCCTCTTTTGCGCCATCTGTCTTAAAATCTCCCTCCACACATGAAGCTGTCCTAAGCACCTTGGATGCTTCTCACAGGCATCAGGTGGAGGGAAGAAGTAGTGGCACAGTGAGAAGATCATACTGAGCCTCTTTTTCCAAAAAGGAACAGGTGTGTTATTCTGAATTTGCACGTGGTGTAGCCTCCTCGTCAAACCTGCAGACAATACTGGTGGTGGGAAGAGTCGGTAATAACTGCAGCAACCACCGCGCTCCCAGCTGAAATCCAGTCAAGAGCTTCCCGGATGTTCTTCTGTGTGCAGATACCCCGTTTTGAAAAACAACTATGAAATACCGCGTTGTAATTTTTTTTTTCACTTACAGAATTGTAAACAATCAATAGATCAAAATGCAGCCTCAGACATTCTGAAGGCTGCGGTCTCACACACCAAATGAATGAGTTCTTTTCTTGGTAAATTGTTCTCTATTACTTTTCAGGATATACTGTAGGCAACGTTTCTTTTTCCCCTTTCACTCCAAATTCCCTGACTTCACATAATACTTGTCATTAAAGATGACATAACAGACCTCCCTGTCAAGGTACCATAATGATTTAAATTATTTCCCACTGGGGGACATTCAGGTAGCTTCTACTCTGGTTTTGTGTTTTTGCAGCAATAGATAACGCTGTGGTGAATACCTTTGAGCCATTTTCTTGCATCTAATTCTTTTCTTAAGGTAATTCCCCCAGAGGAGGCTAGCGGCTTAAAGGATATGAATTTCTTTATGGCTTTTACAATACGATATGAATTGCTCTCCCAGGAGGTGAAACTTTATTTACAGACCTGCATGAGCTTCTGTGTTGGCCCCTGCCCCCTGCCTGGGAATCTCACACAAGGAAGGAGGGGGGCAGAGTTTAGATACCCCACTGTGTCCCCTGTTTGGTGGGGGGACTGGGAGTTGCTTCAAAAGGGGTTAAGGTGCCCAGATCTCCTGGAGCAGCCCCCACCTGCAGCCCCCAGATGTGTCCCCACAGGCCAGATCACTCGCCCCTAACGTTAGAAGAGGGCTTCTCTCCAAAACCGGCGGGCTCCGTTTGTTCCATTCTTGTTGCCTCGATATTAAGTGATGAAAAGGAGTCAGACAGCAAATTCAGCGTGTGTGTAAGGTGGACAGGTGGGGACGTCCTCAGAGTCCGTCACGGGAGGGGGTTGATGGCGGTCCACCACACCCTGGTGCCCAAGGAGGATGTGCTTTTGGACGAGGTTGAGCTCTCTGAAGCATCAGCAGTGCGTTTGTGACACGTTAGTGAAAAAGGCAAGCTGCCAGAGAGCGAGCTCAGTACAGTTCCATCCTTGTTGAGAAGGACCAGGGGCTGCCCATGTGTGTCCATGCCGAGGAAGGTTCTGGAAGGGTGCCCCGAACTTAACAGAAGGCATTTCCAGGCATGAGACTTAGAGGAAAGAAGTGGGTAAAATGGGACTTACTAGTTTTTTAACTTTACTTCTATGGTTTTTAACTTTTTAGAGTAAACGTGTCTTACCCACAGCATGAGAAAAAGATTCTTAGACGCCTCTCTAAAGTGAAGATAATGTGTTTTCTGAGAGCTCAGTATCTTCTCAGGAGGTCCAGCAGGGTCCTTGGGATTTAGCAGTGAGATGTCTCTGGCCCTGTGACTTATTTTTCTGGAACAGATAAAACGAAAGGCGTTTGTGAGGTTCAGGTTGGATTGAGTTTGGGGTGTTTTTTAGCAGTGTCAATAATATTATTTATTGAGTATCTACTCCATGCGGGGCACTGTGCTAGGTTTTCTTTATGTACTCTTTTTTAATTTATTTTAAGCTTTTTTTTTTATTTTAAATTTTCTTTTTTTTAAATAAATGTATTCATTTTAATTGGAGGCTAATTACTTTACAACATTGTAGTGGTTTTGCCATACATTGACATGAATCAGCCACCGGTGTACATGTGTTCCCCATCCTGGACCTCCCTCCCTCCCCATCCCATCCCTCTGGGTCATCCCAGTGCACAGCCCCGAGCACCCAGTCTCATGCATCGAACCTGGACTGGCCATCTTCTGTATGGCGATCTACTTCACTCTGTGTAATAGGCTTCAGTTTCATCCACCTCATTAGAACTGACTCGGATGTATTCTTTTTAGTGACTGAGTAATATTCCATTGTGTATATGTACCATAGCTTTCTTATCCATTCGTCTGCTGATGGGCATCTAGGTTGCTTCCATGACCTGGCAATTATAAACAGTGCTGCGATGAACATTGAGGTGCACGTGTCTCTTTCAATTCTGGTTTCCTCGGTGTGTATGCCCAGCAGTGGGATTGCTGGGTCACATGGTAGTATTTTAAACTTTTTATTTTGTATTGGGGTATAGTTGGTTAAACAGTGTTGTGATAGTTTTAGGTGAACAGCGAATGGACTCAGCCATACACACACACACACACACACACACACACACACATATGTATCCATTCTCCCCCAAACCCCTCTCCCATCCAAGCTGCCGTATAACATTGAGAAGGGTCCCCTATGCTATACACTAGGACCTTGCTGGTCACCCATTTTTAATATAGCAGTGTGTACATGCCCATCAACTCTGGGGTTTGTTGTTTGGGCTCCAATGAAGTCCCCACAGTCAGCTGCCCAGGCAGCACCAAGCCCGAGGTGGTGGTGCCAGAAGCAATCTCTGCTTTTCTTTTCAGGACCAGCTGTCCCTGCAAGTACAGTTTTTTGGATAACAACAAGAAGTTGACGCCTCGACGCGATGTCCCCTCTTACCCCAAGGTAAGATGACTGCCTGCCTGTGAAGAAACCACCATCTGTGTCCACAGCCTCAGGGCACAGCCCCCCCACCTCTGGCCCCACCCAGGGCCCCCTCCCAGCCCCACTGCAGTCTGCATGTTTGCAAAGCCAGCTCTCACCAGGGCCCTGGCAGTGGCACGCTTCTATTATTCTTAGGCAGAATATATTTCCTCGTTGACATTTGTTTAGCAGAAGTGGTCCCAGACCACAGCTTACTGCCAGATCATAGCTCCTCTCTGGTATCCACCCAACCCCCATCACCAACTCAGTGAACAAACGGTTCTGACATTCAAATGTTACTTGAAAGAACTTTCATTTTTAACTAAATTATTTATAATCTGCTTCATTGCATCTCCCGTCCCTGAACAATACGTAGTTATTATGAGAAGTTTTGTTTTGGGGTCACAGAGGATGTATCAGTTACAGGAGAGGGGCCGTTGTTAGAGCAGGCAATGCCCTGGGAATTGGGAGGGTCTTCAAACAGCTACGAAAGATGGATCCCATGATGGTGGTCCTCCATCTCACAATGCCTTCAGCTGGAGACTGAGCGGGATCCTGGCCCAACTGAGTTTTACATATCTGCCCACTAAGATCTGGGCTTTGCCAAGACCAAGATCCTCCAGATAGGGGTGGGGGGCTGGGGTTGCTGGCCGTGCACAAGGCTGACCCCCCAACCCGCCGCCATTCCCACAGCAGCAAAGAGCCTCCCAGGGCTGACAGGAGTCTCCCTGACTCGGATGTGAAAGATACACTGAATATTGTCCGAGGTCATCACGTGGACCCAAGTGCCCTTTCCCGCAGGAGTACACGACCCACACCTTGGGACCCTGCCCCGGGAGTCACACGGCCCAGCCTGGGTCCCGAACAAAAGGCACCGGTCTTCCACAGAGGTTCCTTTTAAAAACACAAACAGAAAGACCTAGGAGATGACTGGATTTAATTCCAAAACACTGTGACTGTCTTGTGTCTACAGTCTTCTGTTTCCTCTGACAACCTAACCTAAACTCCGGTGTTCCATAGAACCCACAAGCTGTGCTGTTATATAGCCCACTGCTAAACTAGTGACAGGTTCCAAAAACAAACCTCAGAATAGCTTCTTAGGCAGTACTTGAATGTATGCCAATTTTTTTTTCCCCTTGATTTCACTTCATTGTATTTTTTAAAGTCGGGTTTCTCGGGATGTCATTAGTATGCAGTAAGCTTCACCTTCTGCAGGTGTGGAGCACTGTCAAATGGGACAGGCTGACATGGTCGCACGCCCTCCACCACGATCAGGGGTGAACACTGTGTCTCCCCCGAAGGCCCCCTCGGCCCCTGCGCGCTCAGTCCTGAGGCACTCCCCCAGCCCCAGCCCCCACTGGTGGGGTGTCCATCCCTGTGGAGTTGCCCCCTCCAGAACTCTCGTGGGTGTGGCCCTGAGAATGGACCCAGGTGTGCTGAGAGGGGGTGGGAGGACGTGGAGAAGGCGTGGCAGGCCTTTGTCCAGCACAGAGGCCGGCGCCAGCTCACACTGCTCCCCGTCCCTCCAGTACCTGCTGTCCCCTGAGACCATAGATGCCCTGCGGAAGCCCACCTTCGACGTCTGGCTCTGGGAGCCCAATGAGGTGAGTACAAGAGCCATCGGAATGGGGGCCAGCCTCAGGGGCCAGACGGGAGGCATCCCCATCCCTCGTCTCCTCTCTCTTCTCTTCTCTTCCTTTTAACCTGCTTCCCCAGTTTTGCAGCCAGACTGCCCCTTGGGCTCGGGAAGGCCCTGAGCCAGAACCAAGGAGCATGTGAGCAGCGGGACCTCACACCAGATCTGGCTGCTCAGAAACGCCCCCACACCCCCCCACCGGGCCGCATCCTGATCCCCCGGGGCAGCTGCCGAGCCCCCATGGGAGTGAGCCTCCGGGCTTCAGGATTATTTCTGGAGGGGGCTTCCACTTGAGGTCCTGCTCAGCGTGGTCGGCCTGGGGAGCCATGAGGACTCAAGGATCCATGCTCTGTTGCTTGATCATGTCTGACTCTGTGACCCGATGGACTGTAGCCTGCCAGGCTCCTCTGTCCAGGGTACTGTCCCAAGCCAGGGATCGAACCTGGGTCTCCTAAATTGGCAGGTGCACTCTTTACCGTGTGAGGCACCAGGGAAGCCTTCAAGGGCTCAGAGTTACTTCTTACAGCACAACAGTTCTTTTAAATTTCCCTTTTGCTGAGAAAACACAGTCATGGAGATTATTGTTTGTTTAGTCTATTACCTAATCATCAGATACACCCTCCTCTCTCTGAACCCCAAGAAATCACAAAGCCACATAGACCTCAGGTCACCGAAAGCAGCAGATACTCGCCAGCTTTTCGGTCATACAGGAGCGCAGAAAGGCTCACGCTCTTGGACAAGAGCGTCAGAGCTACTTCCCTGCAGGTCCGGGAAATGGATCGTGTACCCTGAACTCTCCTATATGAACCACTGTCACTCGCGTGGTCTCCTGGGATAAGAAAAGCCCCAGCAAGAGGGGTGGGGAAGCACAGATCTTGCCTTCACCCCACCCAGTCCACCCTGAGAAGAGCAGCTGGATGGCACGGGTATTCCAAAACGTCCAACCAACCAGCACGCAGGACTGGAGCTGGGAGGTCAGGGAGGAGGGGCTGTTGTAAGTGTCACTGCCGGGTCAGTGCTTGATTGAAGACGGACGTGGTGGAGGGGAGCAGGGCAGGAGAGGAGTCAGGCGTTCCAGGAGAAGCGTGACGACCTCTTGTCCCAGTGGCTCCCGCTGTGGGCCCACGGGAGCTTGGAACATGCACTCCTGTTTCCAGCAGGTGCTGCTTCGAGCACATCTCACAAACTCCCCGTAGTCGTTTTGACCTCAGCCCACAGGGGAAAAGAGCAAAGCTGGGGCCCTGATGGCAGAACCCTGCCATCTCTGTCTCCACAGAACACAGGCTGCTTGTGGCCAGAGAGGGAATGTTTCACCTTCATGTCCGAGGTGGAAGGATCCCTGCCTCCACCATGGGGAGGCGGCCTCTCTGCCCTCATCACTCCACCTGTGGGATGTATGAGCAGGTGCTGGCAGGGCAGAGCAGGGCTAAGGGGAGGGAGGCAGCCTTCTGCAGGTCTGCTTGGCCTGAGTGGCCGTCATCTAGCCCCAGGGTTTCACTAGCACACCTCCATGAACTCAGGGGGCCTGGAGAAGGTTCCAGTGCTTCTGTAAAGTGTCTCCCTGCCCAAGGTGGCAAACCAGAAGTGCTCACAGACAGGAGCCCTGGACTCTGGGGGTGCCATGAATTTTGGAGCATGAACAGCAAAGATGAACAGGTACAAGGACACACCTGAAAGCTTCAGCAGCCCATGTGGCCCCCAGCACTGCATCTGGCCACCCCCCGAGAACATCAGAGCTCCCGGGTGGTGGTGGTCTACCTCCCTCCCTCCATGCAGGGGTGATGCGCGCTGCATCACCCAGGGCCCAGCCCAGCGTCCTCTGATCACAGACCGGATGGGGAGATGACCTCACACTGCACCCCTCTCTCGAAGGCCAGCCTCTGAGCGCTCCCCACAGCACTGCATCTGCCCAGCTCTGCCTTGAAGGCTGCGGGACCTCACAGTCGTCTCACGCGTCCTCCACGCTCATCATCACCCAGCTGCAAGCCCAGGACCCACCGCAGCATCCACAGCTGCCATCATGGGAGCAGATGTACAGACGCGTCCCTCCTGCTCTGAAGCCACCACATAAGTGGCACCAGATGGTTTCGTCTGCCGATCACCTCCGCCTCTTGACTCTGATTTCACAGCAAACATTTCGGCTCTGCGGGGTTGCCTGCAGCCGCGAATGGGCCGGTGTGGCGGGGAGCAGCGGTGTCAGAGCTACAGCCCCTCTGGTCCAGGACAGTGGGGGCGCCAGCAGCTCTGGACGGCTAGACCCTGACTAGGCACTCGTGCTGCCAGCCAGGCTGGGATGACCCAGCCACCAGCCTGGACACCAGCCCTCCCACCCTCATGCCAGGACCCTGCGCTCCCCACACTCTGTCAAGGGCTCCTTCAAAGCCTCAGTTTCCAAACCTTGGCATCCAGTCTGCGTCTGGGCTGTCTGCTCAAGGAACATCAGCGTGTGGCCCCGTCAAGGACTTTCCATCTGGACATCCTCCCGGGCCCCCACTGCAGGGCTGGGATGTTTTCCAGTTTCCCAAGTGGGTTCTTTGTGATGCCATGCAAGTCTTTGCTCCCAGAGGTGTTCCTTCCATGGCCAGCTCATCGACCCTTCATTGTAGGGTTGGATTTGCAAAACTTCTCCTGAATTGCAGTGTTTCTAGTTTCTCATATATTTTGTAACAAGAAAAAGTGGGTTTTCAACTGCACTCCCTGAATAGGTCTGCTGGGGCTGCCATAGCAAATGCTGCAGATTTGGGGGTTAAACAGAAACCTGTTTTCTCACAGTCTGGAAGCTTGACCTCTGAGATCCAGGTGTGGGCAGGGCTGGTCCCGCCCGAGGCCTTTCTCCTCCGCGTGTTGGCAGCTGTCTTCTCCTATGTCCTCATGTGGGCGTCTGTGCATGTCTGTGTCCTGATCTCTTCTCATAAGGACACCCGTCCTTGCAGATTAGGGCCCGCCCTAGTGACCCTGCATAATCTCAATTACATCCCTAACGGTCCTCTCTCCACACGCAGTCACGGGGGGGCTCATGGCCTCGACTGCTTGATTGGAGGGTCACAATTCGGTCCTTAACACACCCTTTTGGGGAAGAGAAGGTTGCCTGGTGAACAGAGCAGACGGAAGTCTGCAGACACCAGGGCAGGGCGGACACTGGGGCCAAGGGGCACAGGTGGGGGTCCCGGGGCAGGGAGCTGGGGGGGCGGGGGCTGGTGTCCTGCTAAGGTGATGCTAAGTCAGCCCCACTCTGAGACCTCCCTGGGCTCTTCTCCCAGAGAGCAGAGCCCACTTTGTCAAGCTCTCACTTTTTAAAGATCATTTAATCTTCTTGGCTTGATTAAGCTTCAAAGTTCTGAGTGGCATTTAAATAGATCTCAACAGTGACAATAAATCCTCTCTGGGCCTGGAAGCAAAATCAACATCAAATTGAACGGGGATTTCTGTAGAAGGCAGCTCAGTGAAATGAAGTTTGGGAGGGAGTACTCCCCAGAAGGAAGTTCGCCTTCCAGACACTTCGGTTCATACATAAGAAAGTGTGTCATCCCAGCGGGGCCCCTGGGGGCCCGAAGAGGCGGGTTTGGGATGGATGAGTATCTGTCAAAGGTGCTCCTCGGCTCCCCATCTCCCAGCCTCGGGCTCATGCAGGGTCTGTGGGAGTTGAAGGTGTCTCTCAGAACCTCAGGCCGGAATCCTGACCCACTGAGATGGGTGTTTGTGTGTATAAATAAGTCAAGTCACTTCCAATGTGGTCATTTGGGGATAGCGTTAGTTCATCTGGTCACTGTCCCTCCTGTAGAGAATGCCATTGACTTCTAACCTCGACTGCTCTTTCAAAACCCCCACACCCCTCCTGGGGGTCCTAAAACAACCTAGTCAACTGGCTTTGGTCCTGGGACCCCTCCGGGAGGGGAGGACTCCCCTGGGGCCCGGCCCGCCATGCTGCTTATCATCCTTCTACTCCTGCGCCCGCAGATGCTGAGCTGCCTGGAGCACATGTACCATGACCTGGGCCTGGTCAGGGACTTCAGCATCAACCCCATCACGCTCAAGAGGTGGCTGGTGAGTGTCGGGCCCCTGCTGACCCCTCAGCACAGTTTCATCGCGTTTCCCAGGAATGCACCGTGGGTACCTTCCTTTGGGCCTGGGCTTCCTACCGACAAAGGCCACACTCCTGGGAGAGTCCTGCGGGGACCCGTCCCCCACCAGACACTCTCTGCTCCTAAGCTTCTGTCTGTGAGCAAGAAAATAGTAGGAACCAGGGAGAGTCAGGTGAAGAGTGTGTTCTAAGCAGCATGTGTGTAGCGGGCAGGGGGTGCTATGCAGGTGTACACGTGTGCGTGCCAGTGTGTGTGGAGTATGTGTGTATATGCTCGTGCCTGCGTCATGGGGGCTGTGCATGGGTCCATGTGTAAGTGCGTCTGTGTGTGTGTCTGTGAGGTGTGCATGTGGGGGAGGGGTGTGCATGTGTGACTGAGTGTGTGTTTATCAACAGATCTTCTTAATAGAATGCAGCTCAGAGCCCAACTGTTAGAAGGCTGTGGAAAGGGATTTCCCTGGTGGTCCAGTGGCTATGACTCTGCTCCTAGTGCAAGAGATCCAGGTTCCATATCTGGTCAGGGAACTAGATCCTGCATGCTACACCTACTGACACAGCCAAACAAATAAATAGTTTTTTTAAAAAACCTGTGGAAGGTTTGATGGTGGCTGGGGACCTGGCACCCCCCACGCAGCCCCCTTACCCTGCCCCCAGCTTCACACCCCACTGTGGTCCCCTGGGGACACCTTCCCCTGTGTGGCCCTCAGACACCCCTGGGCCCCTCGTCCTCACCCCTGGGAAGCGGGAATGCAGTTGGATGAGGACCAGGTGGGAGTCGAGAGTTGGCATCAGGAAGAAGGTGTGGGGAGCTTGCGGAGGGTGGGCAGTGGACACAGAGTGGCCCGTCTCGTCCCGCAGTTGTGTGTGCACGACAACTACCGGAACAACCCTTTCCACAACTTCCGGCACTGCTTCTGCGTCGCCCAGATGATGTACAGCATGATCTGGTTCTGCGGGCTGCAGGTAGGCTGGGGGCGTCCCTCCTGGAGGGGAGCTTAGGGCGGGTCTGGGGGTGTCCCTCCTGGAGGGGAGCTTAGGGCAGGTCTGGGGGCATCCCTTCTGGTGGGAGCTTAGGGCGGGTCTGGGGGGCATCCCTCCTGGTGGGGTGCTTAGGGCAGGTCTGGGGGGCATCCCGCCTGCAGGGAGCTTAGGGCAGGTCTGGGGGGGCATCCCTCCTGGTGGGGAGCTTAGGGTGGGTCTGGGGAACATCCCACCTGGAGGGGAGCTTGGGGCAGCAGCTCCTCCACCACCTGGGGAAGCACCACCCCTCCAGTTTGTCAATGAACATGTGGGTGCCTACCCCCCACCCCAGGGAGAGGCGCGTCCTCCCCCACCAGGCCACAGCTGGGGGAGATTCATCCCCCTGTGTCACTGCCCCACCCCCTACCAGCCCGCTCCTCACCCACCAAATCCTCTCTCCGATCCAGGAGAAGTTTTCTCAAATGGACATCCTGGTCCTAATGACTGCGGCCATCTGCCATGACTTGGATCATCCAGGCTACAACAACACGTATGTACACTGTCCTTTTCTCTTGTCAAGGGCACTCTGGGTGTCAGAGTTGAGCTTTTCAGCTCAACCCCCTGCCAGTTCCCAGCAGGAGCTGTCAGCGAAGCACTCCTGAGCCCCCAGCTCCACCCTACCTCTGTAGGACGCAGCCTTCCCACCAAGGACTTTGTCCAGGACTGGGCCTTCCTGGCAGAATGCCTAGAGGTCCCCAGACCCCATGGGGCTGCCTCAGCCCTTTGCAGTCCTGGCTGCAGGTCTGCGTCTACACGTCTTCCCTGCAGCAGGGAAGGGTGTTCACACACCCATGGACTGGAAGGGGTGGATTCCCACCCAGTCTCTGGATCTCACTCCCCTGAGGGCAGCCTCACCAGCCTGTTTCCAGCAGGAATGAGGCAGAAGCAAGGACAATTACAACAAGAACAGGGATATGGATGCAAGGAGGCAGGGAGGGTCCAGGGCAGGCCGTGGGGCCGGGACGATGGGCCAGGCTTTGCTGGAACATTGATCCACTCCTGCCTCGGGGCGAAGGCAGAGTTCCACCCCATGTCCCTGCCAGAGTCCAAGCCAGGTGGCGCTGGTTTGTGTTCATAGTGATACACTGGTTGTTCTATGGAATTTGTGTATTTGTGTGTCAAACTTTACCATGTGGGTGATGATGCTCAACATGTCCGGGAAAGATGCTATCACTACTCAGGACCAGAGCGGATTCCAGGGTGTGGACGTCCATGTCCGGAGGAGGAGGTGTCCCCGTGGTCATCCACCCCCTTAGTTCACACTCAGATGCTGTGCTGAGCACAAGCCACGGGCCATACCCACAACATCTAGCCCTCCTCCCACGTCCTACGGTGTCTGCAGGGTTCCTTGGTGAAGGCCTGCCCACCTCGAGGGCACCTCCTCAGGGAGGACCTGAGGCTCATTGGTGGTGTCCACCATTAGGACTGTAACGACTTGGGAGTATCTAGTCAGAGGGGCAGCTGAGACCCGGGAGAGCCGAGAGGAGTAAGTTCCCGGCACAAGCAGAGTGGAGTCCCCTCCAGCAGCCCCGTCGCCTCCAGCCTCTACCCCAGCACGCATGCCCCTGCCCCACCCGCATGTGAGTGCGGGTCCCCGAGGGTCCCTCTGCTCTCCAACCCCAGGTACCAGATCAACGCCCGCACGGAGCTGGCTGTCCGCTACAACGACATCTCGCCCCTGGAGAACCACCACTGCGCCGTGGCCTTCCAGATCCTCAACCAGCCCGAGTGCAACATCTTCTCCAACGTGTCACCGGAGGGCTTCAAGCAAATCAGGCAGGTGTGTGGGGCGACGCTGCACCCACTGGGGAGTGGGGGGTCCCTGGGGGACAGTGAGCCCCACAAGAGAGGAGACACCCTCTCTTCCTGTGCCTGAGGCTCCCAGGAGCTCCCAGTCTCCCACAAGGATCCTGGGGGACCGGCCCTCCTTCCACGCCTTCTCCAAGGCCAGGTGATGCCCCAGGAAGAGGTGTGCGCTTGGCCTGCCTGGACAGTGTTCCATGGACCTTCAGGTCACGACTACCATTTAATTTAACCCTTTGAGATACGTCCTTTCTCATCTCGTAGCCCAGGAAACAGGCTGACACAGGCCTCAGGTCACTCGCCCAAGGAAGCAGGTCCTGGACGGACATGTCTGTGACATCCAGCCTGGCAGAACCCTGACCACTGCCCCTAGGTCCCACTCTTGTCCCCCACCACCCCGTGACCAACCAGCCTCACCTCCCACTTCAGAAAAGAGACCTTTCTGCCCCTGGGGGCACATGGGGTGGGGGATGGGGGCGGCCACCTGTCCAGAGACAGAGGCTTCCAAGTCACCAAAGTCACACATACACCCCACACACACATACACGTACACACACACGGCAGGTCCCTCTGAGCACAGGCCCCTAGAACGCACACACACACATCCACACATACACACAGAGCAGGTCCCACCGAACAAAGCCCTGTGCCCCACCCTCTGGCGTGTTCAGAGGAGGGACAATGTCAGAGCGATTCCAGAGGGGTGAGGTGAGTTGAATGATAGCCTCCCCCGACCAAAAAAATAGTCAAGCCCACCTCCTGACCCCCGAGGAGCTGCGAATGTAACCTTATTTAGAATAAATCTTTAGCTATAATTAAACTAGGATCTTTAGAGGCTAGCTCAGATTATCCACATGGACCCTAAATCCAATGACAAGTGTCCGTATAAGAGACACGCAGAGGAGAGACAGAGAGGCCGTGTGATGGTGGAGGCAGAGCCCCGGGGCTGCCGGAACCAAGAGGCAGGGAGTGGGCTGTCCCCGGAGCCTTCAGAGGGGGCACCTTGTTTCCTAGACTGGCGGCCTCCAGAGTCACGAGGAGATGCCTTCCTGCTGCTCTGCCCCCCGCGTGTGGCACTTTGCACGGCAGCCCAGGGGCTCGAACAGGTGGGAGTCCACCCGTGTCTCGGTGGCCCGGCTGGGAGTCCCTGATAAAGGGAGGCCTGCACCTGGTAACGGAGAAGGCAATGGCACCCCACTCCAGTCCTCTTGCCTGGAAAATCCCATGGACGGAGGAGCCTGGTGGGCTGCAGTCCATGGGATCTCGAAGAGTCGGACAGGACTGAGTGACTTCACTTTCACTTTTCACTTTTATGCATTGGAGAAGGAAATGGCAACCCACTCCAGTGTTCTTGCCTGGAGAATCCCAGGGATGGGGTCGCACAGAGTCGGACATGACTGAAGTGACTTAGCAGCAGCAGCACCTGATAAAGACGCACTAGAGCCCAGGGCAGGACACACTCCCCTCCTGGAGAACCAACAGCTTCACCTTAACAGACAGCTGCAGGCCTGTTCCCATCCTTCTACTTCTAGGAAATCGGCGCTCAGCCAGGGCTTAACGACAGGCCTTGTTGAGTCACCGATTCCTGGTGCAGTTATCACCCTTTATAGGCTTTCTGGCCGCCCTTCCACTTGTATGGACCCACAGAAGTGGCAGGCACCTGCTATGTGTTGTTCTATTAGCTGTAGCAAGTCTTTCTGTAAAGCAGGTAAGGGGGCGAGTCCTGAAGAAAGGGCCCTCCTGTGTGCTGCCCCTGACGGCTGCTGGGTGAGGAGCCCTGCCAGGAACTCAGCCCAGAGCATCCAGGCAGCTGGCCCCCTCCCATCGTGGGAGGAGGGGTCAGAGCAGGAGGAGACACGCCCCCAGGGACACACCCCAAGGGACACGCCCCCAGGGACGTGCCCTGCCTCCTGCCACTCATACAGGGACACACTGCTGCTCCTGCCCCAGACATTTTACTGACTTTTAATGCTTTCTGGGGGTAAAATCCATTGTCCCAGTTTTTAATAATGTTTTTTCCTTGAATATCTTGAGGGATAACTCATCACGAGAGTAATCCTTCACTAATAACAATTAAATCGTTACCGAGAAATGGCACAATTCAGAAGGCCAGTGATGCCCCCTCCCCAAGTACATTTTTTATCTGTCCTGACTGATTTGAGTTCTGTATTTGCTGTCTCTGATGTTGTTTTCTTGGAGAAGTAGAACATCATATCCAGCACAGAGGTGTGCTCTGTAAATATTTGTGGGATGGATGGATGAATGGATGGACGGATAGATAAGTGAATAAGTGAATGGGTGGATGGATGAGTGAACGAGTGGGTGGCTGGATGAATGAATGGATGGATAAGTGAACAACTGAATGAGTGGATGGATGAGTGAACAAGTGGATGGATGGGTAGACAGATAAATTAATGCGTGGATGAATAGGTTGATGGATGTATGGAGAGATGGATGGAGAGATGGACACTTGGATGGATAGATGGATGATAAATAAGTGACAGATGAATGGATGTTGGATGAATGAACAAGTGGATGGTTGGATGGATGGGTGAACAAGTGGATGGTTGGATGGATGGGTGAACAATTGGATGGATGGGTAGACAGATAAATTAATGGGTGGATGAGTAGGTTGATGGATGGTCATGGTTTCAAATTACATTACTTCTACTAAACCAACATTTGGTTAACAAGATCATAAAATGTTTGTATTAAAAACATTTCACTTTTGCCTACAAATTTGTTAATAGAAGAATGCTATTATTTATCATCAGACTTTGTTCCCAAGCAAGATATGCACATACAGTCACATACAGATTAAGTGTTAGTCACTCAGTCATGCCCGACTCGTTGCGACCCCATGGACTGCAGCCCACCAGGCTCCTCTGGCCATGAGATTTTCCAGGCAAGGATGCTGGAGTGGGTTGCCATTTCCTTCTCCAAGGGATCTTCCCAACCCAGGGATCGAAGCCGGGTCTCCTGCACTGCAGGCAGATTCTTTACTGACTGAGCTATGAGGGAAGCCCTAACATACAGATTAGATAATAAGAAAAAAATACTCTTGGAAAGTGGGTCATTGACCTCCAGCAACAAGATCTGGGAGGAGCAAACCGTATATCTAGATTAGTGAACTGGCAGGAGACACTTATCCTTGGCTAAAACCGGCGGACTTCACAGGGAGCCACGCTGAGCCTCTTCTCTGCAGGTGACTGCTCCCCGTGGGCCTGGACCCGCAGCCTGCTCTGGGGACGCAGCCTGCATCAGGCACCCTTGGGCTCAAACCCCAGCCTCCCACTCGCCAGCTGTGGCCTGGGCACGCTCCTTAGCTTCTCCGGGTCTCAGTTTCTTTATAAAAACGAGGCCAGTACCCACCCCGGCACTGGCATGAGGCTTGAATGACATGGAGTGAGCAGGGGGCTCCGCATACCGTGGGTGCTCACTGAGTAATTATTGGCATCGCGCCCCGTGTTAACTCTTTGCTTTCACTTCTCAGGGGATGATCACATTAATCTTGGCCACTGACATGGCAAGGCATGCGGAAATCATGGACTCTTTCAAAGAGAAAATGGAGAATTTTGACTACGGCAACAAGGAGCACATGACCCTTGTGAGTGGGCTGTTTTTCCTTCTCTGGGGGCCTGGCGGGTGAGCCCTACCCCCCAGCTCAGACTGGGAACCAAGAAACCAAAGGAAACTGCATACCCTCACCTGGAGTGAGGTATCAGTAACACTAATTTTCAAAGTCCCAGCGCTTAGCAGGGAAAGCCCCCCAGCCCCTAGTAGGACCCCCTCTCCTGGTTAAAGGAATTCCTTTCCCATCCTTCCATCTCCTTCGGATTCGAATGTGGTAAGTGGGCGAAGGCAGCCCCAAATGCAGAGGCCCGGCCAACGCGGGGGAATGCCAGGCTTGGGAACAGAGGGCAGAATCCAGGGCCTCCTTGATGTTGGTATGATTGTGCTCCCCACAGGCCCACCATACCCCCTTCAACCAGCAGGGCTGTGGTTCCCAGCCCTGCCTCCCCTGTGGTGTTCAGACCATGGGGTGCTGATGAAACCCCCAGGTGGTGTTTCTGGGGGCTCCTAGTAGCTTTGGTCCTTTATGTCTCAGCACAGAAAGAATTCAGTGAGAGGCAAAGGTATAGATAAGAGATTAGAAGAAGATGCTTGTGAGGCTTAAACTTACAAGTGGGTGGGTGAGAGTATGCCACTCCCTGAAAACTTGGCGGGCTCGGTTCTATAATCAAAGGAAAAGTAGGGAGAGCAGAAAAGACCACCTTCTTCCTCGTTCTTGAGTAGACATCATGCTTCCATCATGAGCTCCTCCTCCATGTCAATTGGGGTGGAGGGAGTTTTCTTGTCCCTGCATGCTTAAGCCAGGACTGTCATGGCACTACAGAAAAATGATTTCAGGTCACAGTACAATGAGGATCTTTCACTTGGAGATGTCCCATTTCCATAAATTATTGTTTTTTATGTGTGCAGAGTATGTCCTAGGAGTCATTAACTTACTGAACTCACTGGGCAGGATGTGGGTCGCACGCCACCGTTGTTTTATTGTTTGAGGGTATGTCCCCATGCTTCTGTCGCACGGTCTTCTTGCTAAGCAAGCCTGCTTGGTTTTGTGGTTAAGAAAACTCACTTTCTTGAGTGATCATTAACTTACAGGGGTCTCGCATATTTTTTCTCTACGTATAATCCTAGTTAGAGCGTGTGTGTGGGTGTGTGTGTATGCACGCGCACCTGCGTGTTCAGTCATACCTGACTCTGCGACCCCATGGACCATAGCCCACCAGGCTCCCCTGTCCATGGGGTTCTCCAGGCATGCTGGAGTGGGTTGTCATTTCCTTCTCCAGCAGGTCTTCCCGACCCAGTAATCAAACCTGTGCCTCTTGCATCTCCTGCATTGGCAGGTGGATTCTTTAGCACTTGAGCCGTCTGAGAATTAGCTATTTAATCACCTACATTTCCGTTTACTCTGTCCCTGTCACCGAGGCTGGTGGGCACGCTCCCTGCTGCTATGTGAGGGTCCCCTTCACCCTGTGTTTTTAACGCACTTCAGTGCTCAGGGGGCCCATTGTGTTTCTTCTCATTACCGTTTAAACCTCTGCCTCCTGACAGTGCTGTCTGTCTATATTTTTTATGTATCGTCAACATCAAAGAGATACTTCTGAGCTTTGCAATATGTGGTTCATAAGACAAAATGTCCACGTGTTAAAGGTGCTTTCCTGCTACTCAGACCCCTCCAGGAAAGAGTCTGATCCTTGGGGGTGTGGTGATGCCCCGTTCTCCTCCCCTTGCAGTGGAAAGTGTGCCCTTGTTGGGGGGAGGGGCTACAGCAAAGCTCAGTTCCTCTCCACCCGAATCTCCCACCTCCTCCCCGCCGGCCTGTGATGGCAAAAGCCCAGACCCAGAGCCCCACGAGGTGTATCCCATGCAGCACAGCTGAGTCCAGATCTCTTCTTTCAGCTGAAGATGATACTGATCAAATGCTGTGACATCTCCAACGAGGTCCGCCCCATGGAGGTGGCAGAACCGTGGGTGGACTGTTTGTTGGAGGAATATTTCATGCAGGTAAGACTGTCACACAGGCCACACCTCCTGGGGCTCTTTAGCCCCTTAACTGGGTTCTTGTTTGAAATGTGACAGAGGCACCGAGGTGGCCAGTGTCACTGCTTCTAGAAGCCTTCACAGCAGGGGCCTGCCACAAACGCGTGGGGTTGTAATTTGAGACACATAAGACAGGGACAGACAGGAAAAGCTAATGTCAAACTGTCACCACGTTAGCACCCCTGTTACCACTGATTAACTGCCCCCACCCGATGGGGGCCTCCTGCAGGGACTGGAGCCCCTGGATGCATGAGACCAAACAGTTATGGCTAGAGACACCCTGGGACAGGAAGCAAAGCCAGCCTAAGACGGAAAATGTCAGAAGGGGCAATAAGCCTCTCGCTAGAGCAGCTTGATGAGTCTGGGGCTGGGATGAGGGGTCGCAGGGTGGGGGGTGCTGGTCTACAAGCTGTTCTGCTGCTGAGCAGCCAGCAGGGCCTGGAGCCATCCTCCCCTCCCCTGGACACAACCGTGCAGGCCCAGGGAGCCCCTGGTTAGCACTTACAGCGTCCTCATCTCCCACGTGGTCACTACCATGTGTGATGCGGGTGATTCTGCTAGCATGTTAGCTGTTTGTCTCTTCCTCTGAGAGCAGTGATCCTTGAAGCACCCAGATTCCACGAGTGTTTCTTTCTTTAACATCATGTTCGGTACCTTCCCTGCAGAGTGACCGCGAGAAATCAGAGGGCCTCCCCGTGGCCCCATTCATGGACCGGGACAAAGTGACCAAAGCCACAGCCCAAATCGGCTTCATCAAGTTCGTCCTGATCCCAATGTTTGAGACGGTGACCAAGGTGAGTGACCACCTCCGCAAGCTGGTGACCCAGCAGGGAGAAGTACACGTGTGCACTCACATGGACACTCAGACAGACTCACAGACACGCACTCACATGGACACACGCACACAGACACACAGACATGCACTCACATGGACACACACAAAGGGACACAGACACACAACATACACTCACATGACACACACAGAGACACACACTCCCATGAACACACAGACACACTCCCACGGACACACACTCACACGGACACACACTCACAGGCACATGGACACACACAGACACACACTCCCATAGACACACAAACACACAGACACACTCACACGGACACACACTCCCATGGACACACACTCAGGCACATGGACACACACAGACACACACTCCCATGGACACACACACACACACTCACACAGGCACATGGACACACTCACACGGACACACACACACACATGTGCAGTGGCCGCCTACCTGACGCTCACCCGAAGCCCACCACGCCTAACACCCGCATGTTCAAACAGACCACCCCCCACCCCTCCTGGCCTCTGTGCCCACCCGCAGCCCAAGCGGTGACCCAGCCGCAAAACCACAGCGCCTCTCACTGCCCCTTCCTGGGCCAGGCGGCCCTCCTCCACCATGTCTCTGGAGCCACCCCAGCCCCCTTCCCAGGACACCAGCAGGGCCTTGTCAGCGCCTCTCATCTCTGCCTTCAGAAGAACCTTCTAACCTGCCTGCCCCCGTCTCCCCGACCCCCACAGCCCACAGCGATCACCACATTAATCCTCAGTAAGGAGACAGTCTCTGCCTCTCTCCTGAACCTTCCATGGCTCCCCATGGCCCCCAGCACAGGGCAAACCACCCGCCTTATTGGGCAGTCGCCCATCCTGTTGGGCACTTCTGCCGTACCGGAGAGGCCCGTGGCTCCTGGTCCCAGCTTCTTCAAGCCTCCACCTGTGAGCCCAGCCTGCCTTGGCCTGGGCCCCGCATGCTGTTCTCAGCAACCTTCAGAACTACCTCAGCGCACCCTTCCTCGAGCCCCGCAGCACCCTTAGCCCACAGGCGGCAGGTGAAGGCCAGCAGTGGCGATGGTGGGCCTGCCCTCCTCTCTTGCAGGAGCAGGTTGGGGCTGGGGGCTGTGTGCACAGGGCCCCGTGGGGCAGGGAATCAGGCGTTGTACCTCCTGGGACTGAGGGGGGGTCCTCAGAGGGAGAGGCAGCCCCCTCAGAGCTGAGTCTCAAAGACAAAGCATGCTCACCAGGTGGACCCGGGGCGGTGGGTGCTGCAGGCAGGAGGCAGAGCCGCAGGCAGGGCCAGGCCCCAGCGTGGTGCAGGCAGAGGGGGTCCCGGGCCACGTGCGGTGTGCCTTCACTGCACCCACCCGTGGCTGCCCAGAGTCTGCTGGGTGAGGTTGGCGAGCTTGGCATTTGGGAGATGAGAGTCCGCAGTGGGATGTCGGGGTTCTGGGAGGCAGAAGGAGGGAGTGGCTTCTGCCAGGTCCTCGTGGAAAGTGTAAGAGCAGGTCACAGCGCGGGACTCAGAACAGGCAGGTGGGGCGCTCTGTCTCTGACAGCTCTGTCCCCGCAGGCTCCCAGGAGCCATTGAGCAGCCAGCCTCGCGCCTTGAGCACCTTGGATTCTGCCCCAGCCGTGACCCTGGACGGGAGCACGTCTCCCGGGCGGCTGGTTTTCCGCGATGCATTTGCCGCGAGGATGACGGCCTATTGACAGCCATCTTTTCTCTCACAGCTCTTCCCTGTAGTTGAGGAGCTCATGCTGCAGCCGCTATGGGAGTCCCGAGATCGCTACGAGGAGCTGAAGCAGATGGACGATGCCGTTAGGGAGGTGAGTCACCTCTGTGAGGAGCTGGGGTCCACGGGCCCCCCACCCCGCCCGGCCACACCACCCAGGGGGCCTCCAACGGAGCTCATCTGTCCCACAGAGACGCCAGGCGCAATGCAGAGGTGTTCTGTCCTCAGGGGGCTCACAGATGGGAGGCACAGAGCCTTAGGGGGAGTCTGTCCCTTGCCTTGCGGTCGTGGTCACCCATGGGGGTTCGAGGACATCACAGGCTCTGCCACCCACGTCCCCTCAGAGCAGGTTTCTGGCCCCATGCAGGTCCCTCCCCTCCTCCCAGGGCTGACTTTGTTCAGAAGCAAGGCCATGGAAGAGACTCCCTGGAAAAGCCACCCCCACACCCAGCCATGGGACTCTGGTGGCACCTTAAGGAGGATCAAAAGACCCGCTCCGGCTCTAGTTGGCTATTGGGGTTGGTCCTGTGTTCCGGGGAGGCTCAGAGCTGGGGTGGAGGCTTTCAGAGAAGCCCCGAGAGCCAGTCTGGCCCTGGCAGGACCCCAGAGGGTGCAGGCCTGCTTCAGGGCCCCCTGCCGCTTGGGACCCCCGGGATCTGCCCCGTGACGTCCAGTCACCCAAGTGTGGCCTCCCCTCCATCCACCCTCCCTCTCCCTCTCTCTTGGGTGCCCAGTGCAGTGGGAGCCACCTCCCTGCTGCTGCGGGCTTGTCCCCACTGGACCTTGCCTGGCACCCCCGCCCACACCCCAGGGCCCCCTCCCGTGCCATTTGTTCTTCACACTCGCTGCAGGCAGGGCCCCCACCCTGCCTTCCAGCCAGGAGCTCCCACCATGCCTTGCTGGGCCTCCGGGTGGCTCTCGACCCTCTCAACCTCCTTTGTGTACGATGCCAGATGCACCATGGTGCTTTCGGGTTGATGGGCAATCCCGGCCAGCAACTGATTTTTCAAGTGGGATTTTCCTCCCAGGAAGTCACAAAACGCCAAAAGCCTAAGCGCACATGGTGCAGAGAACAGGTGTTAGAGGCGACGTCCCCCAGCCCGCCCTCTGACAGGAGGGCTGACAGGACTGGCCCCCCTGGTCCAGCCTCGAGCCATCACTACAAAGGCCTCAGTCTCCAGGTCCCAGGCTGCCTGCCCAGAAGGCCACTAGGACCTGCACAGCCCCCTCCTGCCCCCAGAAAGAGCTGACCCACAAAAGAGGTGACAGGGCCATGGACTCAGCATCCACCACGGCCCTGCTCTGGGGCTGCCTCTGCAGCCGGCGAGAGCTCACTGTCCAAGACCGAATGGAGGCTACGTGGTGAGGTCTCCAACGGCCGGGAAGCTAGACCGTGCAGAGCTGTGTCTGGGAAGTGCCCCCGGGAGCACGTCTCCTCACATGTCTTAGCACCTCCTGTCCCAGGAAGCTTTTGAGCAGACAAGCAGTCACTCACTCACTGTCTGTCACCTCCTGTGTGCTCTGTCCTGGTCATAGCAGAAGGCTGAGAGCCTGACGTCTGGAATCGCCACGTCAAGAGAGAAAAGCAGAGACCTCGGGAAACAGAGTGAAGGTAACGCTGCTCTGAATGACGTCTCAGTTGTTGTTCAGTCACTCAGTTGTGTCCAGGTCTATGCGACCTCGTGAGCTGCAGCAGACCTGGTTTCCCTGTCCTTTACTGTCTCCCGGAGCTTGCTCAAACTCACGTCCATTGAGTCGGTGATGCCATCCAACCATCTCATCCTCTGTCATCCCCTTCTCCTCCTGCGTTCACCCTTACCCAGCATCAGTGAGTTGGCTCTTCACATCAGGTGGCCAGAGTACTGGAGCTCCAGCTTCAGCATCAGTCCTTCCCATGAATATTCAGGGTTGATTGCCTTTAGGATTAACTAGTTTTCAGACTGAAATGGGGACAGTGTGAAAAGCTGGGAAGGACGGAGGAAGGGAAGGAAGGGAAGAAATCTGTATGTACAAATGTTTTTAAATGGAACGTCTCCTCCTAGCATATAATCTTTACGAATAGGCTCTGAAAGAAGGGGTCATGCCTTAGTTAACAGAAAATGATCGATGATTAGCATCAGTCAGTTTAGTCACTCAGTCATGTCTGACTCTTTGCGACCCCATGGACTGCAGCACGCCAGGCTTCCCTGTCCATCACCAGCTCCTGGAGCTTGCGCAAACTCATGTCCATCAGGTCAGTGATGCCATCCAACCGTCTCATCCTGATTAGCATAGGTACCACTTATAAGAGAAAACATTTTTCAAAGCTTCTCAGAAATAAAGTCTTTGCTTATGTCACTACAAGCACATCCTCTGCACTTGTGGCTCCTGGGTATTCATTCAGTCCAGGTAGAAGGCAAACCAGTTCATTCAGTCTCCATGGGGTCTGGTCATACCATGTGAGTCCAGGCTTTGCTCATTACAAGCTGAGTGACACCCACAGGCATCTCAACCTCTCTGAGCCGCAGAGCCCCAATCTCTAAACTAGAGGTAATAATCCCATTCTTCTTGTTTTAGCTGTTCAATGACCAGAGAATTCTGATACAGAAAAATTGCTCACTGTGTGTGATGCCATGACGTTTGTGATGTTGCCAGAACATTTTTGATCCCACCAACACAAACCAGCATCTTTGTCCTTTTCCAAGCAGACTGTGCCTGAAGAAAGCAGAGAGCTGCAGACTGCTGCTCTGGACCCGGCCGGCCAAGCTTCACAGGATCGTCCATGAAGGAAAGAGTGGTCCTGAGTGCCTGCCACCACGAGATCATTTTCTAAGAACCATTTTGTTCACTGATACAAAAAAACAGGACTTCACAAGCTGTACAGAATTTTTATTTTTAAACTGTCTTTTAAATAATATATTCTTATACAGAAATGGGTCTGAGCTTTTTTGGGGGGGAAGTTGGGCATCCTGGGCTGCTTCAGGAATCTCCCCAGTGCCCACGTGAGACAAGGACGCTGTGCTCTCCTCACCCGTGTATCTTAGAGCGATGGCCTGAGTGACTTGCTAACTGCCTCCATGTAATTCAGCATTAGATGTCAGCTTAGTGCCCGGAGCATGGGGACATGCGTGTCCTCCTTGTGAGTTCCTAGGGAGACATTGGTGGCTGTGCTCGGGGACACGGGACTGGAGGTAGCTCGTTTAGGCTGCAGGCAGTGTGAGCCAAGAAATCCATGTGGGACACAGACAACCACAGGCTTGAGCCTGTTTCCAGGGGTGGGGATTCCACATCACAATGGGCAGATAGGACAAGGAGCCTGTTGACTCAGCACTTTTCAGGATCCCTGTCTCAGGGAATGATGGGCCCTATCTCATCTTCTACTGCTTCTGTTTTAGAGACAAACACTGAGGATGATCTGGGTGGACCAGCGCCCACAAGGGGAGACCCAGCCCCATCTAGTTCACAGTCCAGACATCCCCTCCCCACGTGCGTTCAGACCCCTCAGTGCTCCCCAGAGCTGTGGGTTCCGTCTCTGTCCCCCTGATAGCATCTGCTCTAAGAACTGACATTCGGGGCCGTTGGCATAGTCTGAGGACATTTCCTTTGTGTGTCGGTTCAGTTTCCTTGGAGCATCTGTTTCCCCTGGTGAACTCCAGAATATTACTTCTTTGAATAATTCATTTTGGGGCTGTGAAATGTTCCATCTCTTCTTGAGTTCAGTTCTGTACCAGAGAGGGACCTTGGGTTCCACATCTCTTGTTAGTTTTGTTTATCATTTTAATGTTGCTAAAGCCAGTGCACACCGCAGCTTAGGCTAAACTACAACCCAAACTTAGCAGGTGTTTAAATAAGATGACTTCAGCCTGCGTGTCCTCCTGGGCTGGCGTTTTATCATCTGCTCTCCCCATTGGTGAGGCCGTGCTCTGAACAGCTCCTTCTGTCTGCTGCATGCTGAATACCTGCCTCACCAAACTGCTTCAGTCAAGCTTCCCACAGTGATTACTGAATTTAACACTTGTGCACACACATGCACATATGCACACAGTCAAACACAGGTCCACACACATGGCTACATAAGCAGACACATACTTGCATACATGTATACGCATGTCCCCATATGGACACTGAGGCCCCATACACGTTTACATATACATTGAACCCCATACACACATGCTTACATATATATGTAGCATATATGCGACTCACATACACATGTTTACATATGTGCTGAGGCCCCATACACATATGCTTATATATACATGCAATATACATACACATTCTTACATATACATTGGGGCCTCGTACACACATGCTTACATATATGTGTAGCATATATGCAACACACACACATGCTTACATATCCATCCAACCACATGTGTGATCCATGCATACACACACATGCATGTGCATGTACAGTCACACATATACACAGGTGTTCACACACATAATGCTTAGGTGTGCACTGTGCACATCACACATGCATACCTAGACATGTGATCATACATAGGCATGTGTCCACACACACACCCATGCATATACATAATCACAGATGTCCACAGACATATACAGTCATACATGTACATGTGTGTATACATGCACAATATACATTTATATACATATAATAGCATGTACACGTGTGTATATACACACTCTAACACACTTCCTCTGCCTTACTGGGTGTAGGTTAGACCAAGTCCTGGAACAGGGAAATCAAGAAAGAAGAGGAGAGATTGTCCTGGTAGTGCCTATGACAGTCCAGGTGTTTGTGTCAACAACCTGCTTCCTTAATGGGATGCCTTAATGCCCCAACCCCCAGACCAGGGTGCACAGCAGAAGGTGAGTGGTGGGTGAAGTTGAACCATCCTTGCCCCCCCCCCCAGTCCGTGGAAAAATTGTCTTTCATGAAACCCATCCTGGTGCAAAAAAGGTTGGGGACCACTGCCTTAGAGCATCAGGAGCCACTGGATGCTGTCCCCAACCTTCTGCTTCAGAAGTACTTCCACACTGCGGGTAGATCCTACCCCATGAGTTGAGCCATGGGATTGCTGAGGCCCCTTCCTGAGTCGCCTCTCACATGGAGACGTCCCCCTCCCTGTAAGTTGTAGAGAAGGTGCCAGGCAGCCCCCCACTGCACAGATCAGCCCCAGAGCCCATGAACGGGGCCCTGTCCATCCAGGTCAGCCTGTACACCAGGACCTGGAAGGCCTCCTGCCCAGGGACACCCCATATGCTGGCCAAGAGACCACGTACAATATGCAGGGTAAGAGGAGAAGGTGGCCTCCATCTGATCTCAGTGTAAAGTCTAAGTGAAGCATAAAGCCAAGCCTCACGGGGAGCAGGTGGGGGAGACACAGCAGTGTCCTGACCTGCATGCAGGATGTTACAGCAAGACAAATGCCCCGTCCTGCACCCCAGTCACAGCTCCACAACATAGTGTTCATACAAGGGGACAACACCACGCTGTTTTCTACAGTTCCTCTCCCCAAGAACTTCCCCGAGCATGGGTCAAACACTGGATCCAATACATCCCCAGGAAATGCTCCTGGAAAACACCATCTTGGGGCTCAGCTCTGAGAGCGCTCTGCCCTAGGAACCCAGCTCATGCCGTCAGAAAGGCCGTGCAGCTGCTTGTGAGTTCAGCTGTGAGCTTGCCACCAAGAAGGGAGAAAGGAGAGGAGTCTGTCTGCATGGTGTCCCTGTGGCTGAACACCCCCACCCCATCTCTCAGACCACGGACACCTCCTGTGGGGTCCTCCATTCATGGGCTCCTCCATCCATGGGCTCCTCCATCCGTGGGCTCATCCGTCCGTGGGCTCCTCCACCCATGGTATCTGAAGCCAGAAGGACGTCTTTAACTAAATCACATGGGAACATCCATTCAGCACAAGGACTGAATGAACACTGAACACACACAGTACTTCATCCAGGATAAACAGCCACCGGTGGGAACTGTGGGATCGCAGGTTTCCTCTGGCGAGAAGAGCGGCTGCTCTACGGGGCCAGGCACCCCCGAGCTGCCCTGCCAGCGGGTCAGTGGCCACAGGAATTGCCACATCCGTCCTCACCCCAAGGCAGCGGAGGCGCCGGTTCCCCACCCCCACTCAGGAGAGGGCCCCAGACGTGAAACTTCACTCTTATTGCTCCTCCAGTGTTACTGGAGGGGAGTTTTTAACAATTCAAATCAAAAGAATTTAACTGCAATTTGTCTAAAGGGCAGGTGAAACCGTCGCTCTGGATTTTGAGGGGACATTCTCCATCAGGAGAGGAGGGGCTGGAAAGGGTGCTAGGGATTTGGGGTCCCCTGTGTCTTCAGGCAGGTTTTCCTGGCGGCAGGCTGGATTCGGGGAAGACAGAGGGCCAGTGGGTCCCACAGAGTCTCGGAAGCTCGGAGGTGGGTGCCTCCGGCAGGAGACAGGTTCTGGTGAGGGGTCGGGGGTGAGTCCTCTTGTCATAGGCTGAGTTATGTCCCATGAAATTTATCATCTGAAGCCCTCACTCCCTAGCACCTCAGAAAGTGTCGGCATTTGGAGGTAGGATCGATGAAGAAGTAATTATGTTAACCTGCCTCACTGCTGCTGAGACGCCCAGAGGCACCTGCCCTTAAATAGCCGACGTGTGTCCCACAGATGCTAATGGACCCTGGGCAGTGGTGGGCAGCGTGGCTCACAGCATCCACCTCCATGGAAACGCCTGCCGGTTGCATGGGCCAAGGCTGCCTGCTGGGCTGATGTATGTACCATGCCGACCACGGTCTACAGATTGGCAAGGAACCGCACAGAACTGTTAATGTTTATAGATTGTCCGCTCTGCTCCAATAAGCCCATCTGCCCTGAATGAAGCCTGGCGAGTTTTCCAGAAACCCAGGCACCTCCTCCAAGTAAGCTTGTTCCTCCCTCCTGCGCTGGCCCAGCTTCTATCATCAAGATGGACCACTGTCCAGAGGCTAGCTGCTCCTGCAAAGAACCTGGAAGGATTGGGTTTCAACCCCGCTTGATCCCTCTTCTCACTAATTGTGTGGAGCCTAACAGCCCACCACCTGTATTTGTGTCCTGGAGCTGTGGTGACAAAGTGCCCCAAGCTCGGTGACTTAAAAACGACAGGAAGGACTCCCCTGGCGGTCCCGTGGTCAAGACCCCGCACTTCAAATGCAGGGAGCGCAAGTTTGATCCCTAGTCAGGGAACTAAAATGCAACATGCCGCCTAGCACTGCCAAAAAAAGAAAAAAAAAAAAAACCAACAGGAATTGATCCTCTCACAGTTGAGGCAGCCGTAAGTCCAAAATCAAACTGTGGTCAGTCCCTCTGCAGACTCTAGGGGAGAACCCTCCCTCAATTCTTCCCAGGTCTGGCAGCTACCAGCAGTCCTCGCTAGTCCTGGCTCAAGGCGCAGCACCCTAATATCTGTCTCCCCCGTCACATGGCCTTCTCCTCTGGTCTCCATGCCCAACTTTCCTTCTCCTTCTGAGGACACCAGCCATTGGATGAGGGCCCAGCCCAGCCCAACCCAGGTTGACCTCACCTTCACTTATGGCATCTGTGAAGATATTTGCAAATCAGGTCACACTCACAGGTACAAGCTGTTTTGATCTTTGAAGGGGGACACAATTCCACCGCCTACGCCCTCACAGTCTGAGCTTTCCCATCTGTCCATTTCCACCTCTCTGACTTGTTGTAAGAATTAACTCAACAGCCTGTGCCAAGCTCTCTGCATAGTCTGGTACCCAGCTCTCCTTGAGCACCAGGTACCCTCAGCATCAGGTACCCTTGAGCACCAGATACCCTCAGGAGCTGCCTGCCTGCATCTCTCATGGCTTAAAGCATCACTGCAGGCCATCAGTGATGTTTACCCCCTGGCAGGGGGTAGCTCTGTTACTCCGGGGGATCTTCTCTTGATCAGGCTCCCTCAAAAGAGCTAGGATCCAAAGAAGGCAGAAGGCAAGTGCCTGTAAGGAAAGGAGACTGGCAGATCCGGGGCAGAGGCAGGGGCGGGCCAGTGGGGTCTCTCTGAGAGGACTGGGCACTGAGTAAAGCGTGACTCAAAAGAGGAGAACTGGTTGAAACAGGTCAGAATGAAAAGGATGGATGGGACATAAAAATCCAGGAAAATAAATGATGACCCTCTGCTAGATCAAACTCAAACCTGAAATGTCACCTTCAACCATCTGGGTACAAATGGAGAGTGTGTCAGTTAGCTCTAGCTGTGTAACGAATGCCCTAAAACTTAATGACGAAACAACAACGTTTGGTCTTCCCTGGTGGTCCAGTGGCTGAGACTCCACGTTCCCAATGCAGGGGGCTAATATCTGGGAACTAAGGTCTCACATGCAGCAGGGAAGATCCTGCATGCTGTACCTGGTGCAGCCAAATACATAAATAAATAGTTTATAAAAGAAGAAAGAGAGACGCAACAGGACTTATTATTAATATTTCTCAGGGCTTCGTGGGCTGACCAGACAGAATGGTTGGTCTGCCCCAGCTCAGCTGGAGCTGGCTGGCATACATGGCCTCACTCACACATCTGGCAGTGCTTGGCATCAGCTGAAGTTGCAGCCACACGTGTCTGTCACGGTGTTGCAGGTTAATAAAGTGTGGTTTGTTGATATGGCAGCAATGTGGTCCCAGCAGCAAGAGAGCGTGAACCCCAGGACCCAAGTACTTTCCAAGTCTTATCAAAACTACAGTCACCCTGTCCCCTTGGCCACAGCAAGTCATTTGGCCGTGCCTGGATTTAAGGGGTGGAAAACTAGATTTTGCTTCATGACAGAGCTGCCAAGAACGTAGGGCCTTTTGCCGTCTATCAGAGCAGGGATGACTGTGGTGGAGAACACAGCTGGCATTATTCTCCATGCTCCTCTGGACACCTGTGTCCTCCTCGACCACCAAGACCCCTACCCCATCAGTTTTACTTGATTTCAGGTGTGAAGGCACAGGGCCAATCCTGTGGCAAGCACCTGAGAAGTTATCTTCACATCCCAGGGCTGTGAGTCTAGAATGCCCATTGATGCGGTTCAACTAATAAAGCTCTTGAAAGCTTCCCCATGGTCCTTGGAGTGACTGCCCCAGGCCCACTGTGGGCTCTGCGATCACTGTGCCCCCAGTTATGATGGGTCTGTTTGTCCCAAGTATGAGAATTAGGTAAGCCCTACACCCAGCTGGCCAAGCCTGTGAGCAGGCTACACCTGGTACTATTTTGTGTGTGTGATAGTTGCTCACTCATGTCTGATTCTTTGTGACCCATGGACCTTAGCCTGCCAGGCCCCTCTCTGTCCATGGGATTTCCCAAGGCAAGAGTACTTGGAGTGGGTTGCTATTGCCTCCTCCAGGAGATCTTCCTGACCCAGGGATTGAACACAGGTCTCCTGCATTGCAGGCTGTTTCTTTACTGTCTGAGCCAGCAGGGAAGCCTAGTACGATTTTATCTCACCAGAATTTATACATGGTTGTTTATTCCACTGAGCCACCGGGGGTACTTAATAAAAGTGTAGAGGATTTTAAGACATTATCCTGCAACAAAAGCCTGTAATCAAGGGATTCTTAAAAATGAATGTGAGGTTGTATATTGAGCCCCTAAAGGCTCACAAAAAGTGCCATTTTTGGCCTTTCAAATGGTGGGAGGGCAAGGTGACTGGAAAGTTCAAAAATTTAGAGTTTTCAGGCAGCCGTAAGACAAGCAGATAATAGCATCTTAAGAGAGGGAGAACCTTCAAGTAAACCGGGAAACATCTATAGGCTTTGACATGCTGCAGCCGAACAATTGTGTGTCTCCAGGGCATTTAGTTTTACTGGAAAGTGTTTATTAGAGAGTGTTAGATTGGGCAAGGCAGATACAAATAGCTTGTACATTCCAATCCCTATTTTGTTGAAGAAAAATGTTAAAAGGTATTTCATACCTTACTTGTGGGTGAAATGACAAGCGATATTTTTCTAGCACACTTTCCTCCTTTTCTACAATGAAAGTGTATCACTTTTTCATCAGCAGATAGCCATGAACAATACTATATGTTGATGGGGTAACTTGGCCATTTTTCTAGCACACTTTCCTCCTTTTCTACAATGAAAGTGTATCACTTTTTCATCAGCAGATAGCCATGAACAATACTATATGTTGATGGGGTAACTTGGCCAAGACTCAGAGGCTGGGCAGGTGGTAGATAAGAAGCTGGCAAGACCGGACCACAGCACCTGTACATGAAATCCAGAGACTGAGCTGTCAGCAGGAGCATCTCTAATCCTCTAAGTAGGTGGTAATGGTTTTCTTTATCTTCATTGTCTGAGAAACCCAGCCCCATAAAGGTAAAAACCGCCCCACTCTTGGGTCAGGAGCCCCACCCTGGAGAGCCTGCAGGCCATGGAGTCCGAACTTCCCACTGGGACTGCAGAAAAGGGAGGGTGCCTCAGGACTCCCTGAATGAGAGCGTGATTATGGAGCTGGTTTTAAGGGCTTAATTCTACTGAGAATTGCTGGTGCATAGTTAGATGTTTAACTGCCCAGGATCAATCATGCAAACTTGAAATGAGTGAGGTAAGTGTGGAGTTCATGGGAATAAACATGAGGGTTGAGTTTTCTTCTTAAATAACTGCCTTGTATTTATTTTCATTCTCTTGGGCACATTAGAAATCTAACCTTGCCCATGACCTTCTGAGCCTATGTGGCACCTGCCTGATACGAGCATGTGGTCAGACCCTTCATTCCACCAGGACCCCCTAGGTCAAGTCAGGTCGGCCCTTTCATTAAAATTGCAAGAAAAAATCCACTAAGCATTAGGAACCTTTGTGAAAAATCTCGTTCTCTGAAGCTAATCTCTGACGAGTAAGCTGTCCGCACTGGTATCTCAAGAAAACACCTGAGTGGTGGGGGAGGGGTGAGGGCCGGCACCAGGAAATCAAGGGAGGCAAATTCTCTGCTCTTTGATGGCACCCAGCCTGGGCAGGTGAGATGTGCCAGGATGCTTGATGAACATGAGTGAGAGAGTGAATGATGAGCAATTGAGAGGCAGACTCTTGGAATGCTGTTTATGCAGCTAAGCTAGTGGAATCATCGGGTCTACTGGTCAAGCTTTCCTCTGAAAGTGTTACTAGCACTGCATTAAAATTGGCTTAAAGAAAGCTTGGAAGGGCGACTGAGAATAGAGATGCATGGATCTCCCTGAAGATCAGACACTCATTTCTGATAGGACTTCACAAAAACCCCTGGAAAATACTCGTGGAGTTTTCTTGATCTGCGGTGATGGGCTATTTGCTGCTCCAGCTGAACAGATTCTCCACGTGTTTGTCTTTAGGAAAAACATGTCTGCTTTTGTTCAGAAATGAAGGGGTGTACAGAAGACACACATGACTGCAGAAAGACCAAAAAGTGTGTTTCCCCCTGTTCATAAAGGTCTCTCTCGGCGGCAAAAGCTGTTGTTGCACTGCAGGCTGTTCCAACAGACATGGGCCTTCCTCTGCCTCTGCTCAGGCCCCTACGTCCCAAACCTGCCTGCTGACAACCGAGGGGCCACAGAGCCAAGCAGCCCCCGGGGAGAGGGGTGAGAGGATGTAAACCCACGAGGTCTGAGCTTCTGGCTTTATCAGGGTATCGTCCTTGCTAACCGCAGCTGGCCCGTGAGTCCTCGTCCATCACTGGCCGCACCCACAGGCTGATGGGGGAAGACCCGTCGCTGCCAATGCTGTTGGTACTTCCACCAATACTTCCACCAAGTGCTGCTTCCTGGAGAAGGAAGCTCCCCACTTCCTGGAGGGAGCCCCCCACTCAAGGTGAGGCACCTGGGTCTGGTCTTTCTGGGGTCCAGTGCAGGCTATGGACACAACACTGTAGCTCTTAGGTCCTCCACGGGGTGGGCCCCCACCAGCCCCTCCAGCAGAGTCTCCTGTGTATGTGTACTAAGTCGCTTCAGTCATGTCCAACTCTTTGCGAACCTATGGACTATATAGCCCACCAGGCTCCTCTGTCCATGGGATTCTCCAGGCAAGAATACTGGAGTGAGTTGCCATGCCCTCTTCCAGGGGATCTTCCCCGCCCAGGGATCGAACCTGCATCTCTATGTCTCCTACATTGGCAGGCAGGTTCTTTACCACTCAGCCACCTGGGAAGCCCAGGACCTCCTGTGGTTCCTCTGAATTCCACACCAGTAGAGTCAGTGCTGACCAGAGCAGGATATCCTTGTCATCACGGCCGAGGGTTCAGTGACCAATCAGTACACAGGCTATGTTCGAAGTCCCCAGACGCTTTCCAGCTCGAGGCCTGTCCTCTCCCTGGGACACCCTCCCAGCCCACAGGCTGCCCCGAGCATGCCCAAATCTCAAGAAGCATCATTTACAGCCAATACGTGAAAGGTTTTCTCTGCAGGGAGCCTTGCTGGGCTCACACGTCCATGCCCCAGGCTGGTCCAGCCTGAATTCCTGAGGGCCCAGAGGGAGAGAGCAAATTAGCCAAGATGGCAGTGGCCAGGCTCTCTCGCCCCATGTTTTGTAAATAGTGATGTAACCGCTGAGATCATTCACGGCACTGCGCATGTGCACGGTGGTGTGGCCCTATATAAGCACCATCTGAGATGCTCTAGAAGGAGAGGCGAGTCTAGTGTTGTGTTAGCCAGTAGAGTAAAGTGTGTCTGAGTTACAGCCGCGGCTGCTGCGCCAGCCAGGAGAGAATCAACAGGTCTGCAAGTTCCTGAGCTTCCTCAAGTTTTCTTCCAGCTTCCCCGCTTGTGCCTTGTCTACCCTGGGTTCAGCCAAGTGTGAACAGAGAGACGGGACCCAGCTGGACCAGCCGGTGCCCCCTGAGGTCAAAGGGATGCAGAATTGGCCTGCCTCGCCGAGAGTTCTCCCAGTTCTGGGATGCTCAGGAACCATGTGGGCTCCATGAGATTAGCTTCTCTCTGATGTTACAACCAAGAAAAATTACTATTTTTTTTTTAACCACACCACACAGCTTGTGGGACCTAAGTTCCCCGACCAGGGATTGAACCTGTGCCCTCGGCAGTGAGAGTGGAATCCCAACCACTGGATAACCAGGGATGTCCCCAAAAGATCATTTTTTTAATTAAACTTTTTATTTTGAGGCAATCATCAGTTCCCCTGCAGCTGTAAGAAAGAACACTCCCCACTCCAGTACTCTTGCCTGGAAAATCCCATGGACCGAGGAGCCTAGTAGGCTACAGTCCATGGGGTCGCAAAGAGTCGGACACGACTGAGCAACTTCACTTCACTTCATGGCAAAATGTCTTGTGTGAAACATGTTTATCTTAATTTCCATGAAACAACATTCTGCAGTCTAATAAAACTTTTATCTACTGTACATAGAAAAAAAAAAAAAAAAGAAAGAACACTCCCATGTAGACTTTACCCAGATTCCCCCTGATGTGGTAACATCTTACAGAAATCTGTACCAAATCATCACCCAGTTGTTGACCTGTTGACCAACACAGTCCAGACACACAGCATTCCACCCCCATGAGGAGCCTTCTGCTGCCCTTTCATAGCCTCACCCTCTTTCCTTCCACCTCACCCCAACCCCTGACAACCCCTAGTCTGGTCTCCATCTCTATAATTGCATCATGAGTGTTCTATAAATGAAGTCACACAGTATGTGGTCTTTGGGGGTTGACTTAGTTAACTGGGCATCATTCCCTGCAGGCTAATCCAGGTGCTTGTGTGTATCAGGAACTTCTTCCTTTTTAAAAGAGTTTTGTTTGTTTACTTTTGTCTGTGCTGGGTCCTCCTTGCTGTGTGTGGACTTCCTCTAGTTGCAGGGAGCAGGGGCTATTCTCTAGTTGCAGTGTGCGGTCTTCTCATTTCAGTGACTTCTGTTGTGGAGGACGGGCTCTAGGACACACAGGCTTCAGTAGTTGTGGCTCCCGAGCTCTAGCGCATAGGCTCAATAGATGTGGTACACGGGCTTTGTTGCTCCACAGCATGTGGGATCTCATTAGACCAGGGATCGAACCTGTGTCTCCTGCATTAGCAGGCGGATTCTTTCCCGATGAGCCCCCAGGGAAGCCCAGGAATTTGTTCCTTTTCCTGGCTGAGTCATGCTTCACAAACTGAGTACATCACAGTTTAACCGTTGACCTGTTGAAGGGCATCTGGGCTGATTCCAGTTTTTAGCTGTTATGAATAAAGCTGCCTCAGACATTCACCAACATACTGTGTGTGAATACGATATTTCATCTCTCTAGGATGAAAGCCCAGGAGTGTATTTATTAGACCATGTGCCGAGTGTATGTTTGCTTTTATAAGAAGAGGTCAAATCATTTGCCAGAACGGTTATACCTACACCTTTCCACTAGCAAAGGCCAAGTGGCCTCCACACTTTCTTTGGTATCTGGTGTTGTCACTGTTTAATTTTACTTTGGTGAGAGGCCACTGTGACTCTAGTCTGCATGTCCATGATGGCTAAGCACATCTGAAAAGATGTGCTCTGTGTACGCTCATTAGTAAAATGTGTGTTATGTCTTTGGCTCACTTTCAAAGCTGTTTGGATATTGTTGTGGCTTTACTGCTTTTATTGTTGAGTTTTGGAAGTTCTCTGTATGTTCTAGATTCTGTCAGATATGCAGTTTACAAATATTCTCTCCCATCTGCACCCAATCTTTTCATCCTCTTGACAGCATCTTTCACAGAGCAAATATTTTTAATTTTTTCATATTTTTTTAATTTATTTGGCTGTCCAGGTCTCAGTTGCAGCATGTGGGATCTATCATTCTAGCATGCAAACTCTTAGTCGTGGCATGTGGGATCTAGTTCCCCAACCAGTGGTTGAACCCAGCCCCCTGCATCGGGAGTGTAGTCTTAGCCACTGGACCACCAGGGAAGTCCCCAAATATTTTTAATTTTGATTAAGTCCAAACTATCCATTTTTCCTATCACCAATCTTGCTTTTGACATAAGGTCTAAGAACTCTCTGCCTATCCCCAGATGCTGAAAGTTTTCTTCTGTTATTTTTTCCCTGAAAATCATATCAGTTCAGTTCAGTTCAGTTCATTCACTCAGTCACATCCGACTCATTGCGACCCTATGAATCGCAGCACGCCAGGCCTCCCTGTCCATCACCAGCTCCCGGAGTTTACTCAAATTCATGTCCATCAAGTCAGTGATGCCATCCAGCCATCTCATCCTCTGTCGTCCCCTTCTCTTCCTGCCCCCAATCCCTCCCAGCATCAGGGTCTTTTCCAATGAGTCAACTCTTCGCATGAGGTGGCCATATGGAATATTATATGGTTTTACATTTTAATCTGGTCCATTTGGGGTTACCTTTCTCATGAAATGTAAGACTTAGTCTGAGGCTTGCTTTTGTCCCCCATGGATGTCCAATTGCTCTAGCACCATTTGTTGACCAGGTTATCCTTCCTCCAAGGAACTGCTTTTACATCTTTGTCATAAGTCAGTTGGGCGTATTCGTGTGGGTCTATTTCTGGGTTTTCTGTTCCATTCCATTGATCTCTGTGTCTATGCCTTCACCAATATCACAATCTCAATTACTGTAACTTAAAATGTCTTAAAATCAGATGGACTGATTCCTCTCATCTTATATTCTTTTTCAAAAATACTTAGCTATTTAGCTTTTTGAAATACTTCCCAGGTGGAGCAGTGATAAAGAATCTGCCTGCCAATGCAGGAGATGCAAGAGACACAGGTTCAATCCCTGGGTTGGGAAGATCCCCTGGAAGAGTAAGTGGCAACCCACTCCAATATTTTTGCCTGGGAAGTTCCAAGGACAGAGGAGCCTGCTGGGCTACAGGCCACAGGGTCACAAAGAATCAGACACAACTGAGTGACTGAGCACACACACATACACATTCTAGTTTTTTTGTTTGTGGTCAGTGGCTAAGTCATGTCCGACTCTTTGTAACCCCATGGGCTGCAGCATGCCAGGCTCCTCTGTCCTCCATTATCTCCCAGAGTTTGCTCAAATGCATGTTCATTGAGTCAGTGATGCCATCCAACCAACTCATCCTCTGTTGCCCCCTTTTCCTCTTGCCCTCAATCTTTTCCAGCATCAGGGTCTTTTCCAGTGAATTGGCTCTTCTAGTTTTTTATCTTTCTATATAAATTTTAGAATCATATTTTCTCTATCTATAAACTAATGTCCCTACTTTGATAAGAATTGCATTAAACATATACTTCAACTTGGGGAAAACTGACATCCTTACTGTACCACCTCCTGCAGACCTTGGTGTGGGGCATGGGCCATCGTCCAGAAGCCTGCCTGGTTGGGGTGTGTTGTTGCCATGGTTACCTCAGAGCCTCATAATTTCCAGGCCTAGGAAGTTCTATCTGCTTATTCTGTTGGTTACTGAGCAAGCGGCACAGAAATCTCCACCTGTAATTGTGGCTTATTTCAAGGTTCAGTTCTTTCAGGCTTTTCTTCACGTGTTTTGAAGCTCTGATGTTAGGACTGACACGTTTAGGAATGTGATATCTTCTTGATAGCTTGACCCCTTCATATTTGTGCAATGTTTGTCTTTATCTCTAGTAACAGTCCTTGCACTGAAATCGACACTGTCTGATAGTAACACTCCAGGCCACGCTTGACCTCTGCAATGTCCCGTACTCTGTCTGTGGAGTGTTTTTCTCTCTAAAAAAATCCACTTCTAACCTATCACTTTGTCTCTGAATTCTTTCTGCAATGAGACATCAAGAACCTGAGCTTCATTATGTCCTGAAATCAGCTAGGCTAATTCCTGCTCATCATCACCACCGCTGGGGATGTCTTCTGTGCCATTTCTTTGCGGCAGGTTTATTTATTTATTTTTTTTTGGTACTAACCCTTGGTTGGGAGACTACCTTGGAAGTGACAGCATCTAAAACTGAATGAAGGCCTCCACCCAGGTGGAGAACGGTGACTGCAGGTTGAGCACAAGTATGTGAATAACATGGTTGGATGGCATCACCAACTCAATGGACCTGAGTCTGAGCAAACTCTGGGAGATGGTGAAGGATGGGGAAGCTTGGCATGCTGCAATCCATGGGCTCACAAAGAGTTGGGCACAACCGAGTGACTAAGCAAGTGTGTAGACACCAGACTGGTTGGAACCAGAAGCCTGATGATTGAGGTGTATGGAACACCACCCTGTTCCCTCCCCACCAAGCAGGCAGCCCTTGCTCCAGTTGCACTCCACACACTGCAGCCCTTGCTCCAATTGCTCATAAAAACTCTTCCCTGAAATGCTTCATGGAGTCTGGGCTTCCCCAGCACAAGCTACCTGTTCTCCTTGGTTGGTCCTGCAATAATCCTTTCTCAGGGTCAAAAAACAAACAAACAAAATACACTCCAGCTTTTTTTTCTATCTACACAGTATATCTTTTTCTGTCCTTAGGATTTCCCTGGTGGCTCAGATGGTGAAATCTGCCTGCAATACAGCAGACCCAGCTTCGATCCCTAGGTTGGAAAGACCCCTTGGAGAAGGGAATGGCAACCCACTCCAGTATTCCTGCCTGGAGAATCCCATGGACAGAGCAGCCTTGTGGGCAACAGTCCGTGGGGTTGCAGAGAGTCAGACATAACTGAGCAACTAACACTTTCTTTTCTCAATCTGTCCTTATACTTAAAATTACTTCTTCTAGATAGTGTATAGAGAATAGAACTCATAACACATGAAACCAAATATTTTTTAAAGAAGCAGAATTTTTTAAAGGCTAAAAAAATTTTAGATCTATTTGTTATGATTCATTGAAATAAAAAATTAACACAATGATTATACAACAGACCAGACACAGTTGAAGAGAGAATTAATGAACTGGAGGCTAGATCTATAACACAGGCAGGTAAAG